TTTTACTAAGTGGAAATGCCAAACTGCCTTCAAAAATATTTATGTGTATAGCCACAGATTAGTGCTTGTATTTCAACTTTGGTCAGAGAAGCTTCTGTTTGCAGTAGCAGTCAATAAAGAGGCTCATAACTGGCCAAAACCCTGAGACTCTTACATGCTCAGCTCTAAATGGTACATCTATGTCAATCCTTTCAAGACTCAAGGAACATCACAGAAAAGGGAGCAGAAAGTATGGTTAGAGCCAGAGCATGGGGAAGAATCCTGTCAAATGCTGTCTTCTGGACAAAGCATGGCTTTAAAGTCATGAATTCACAGTAGCTGTGGTTAGACATGCAGGATCAAGCCAGTCAAAATTCCAGCTGGGATAGGGGAGGGACCAACTAGACTGCACCGATAGCTAAAAAGTCAGCTACTGGCTATTACTGATTGCTGGAGAAGGGGAGTCATTTTTCTTCAGAGATTTGGCTGCTGGTAGTTTATCCATGTTCATGTAGGCAGCAATAACTGAACTCAGGGTTTTTTTTTTAACAGATGTGAAGGTTCCCACACCTTGGGGGATCCCAGAAGGAGTTGATCTGGTCAAGATACATTGTATACATATGTGAAATTGTCAGAGAATGGATTTAGGAGAGCTTAGACAGTTGGCTCAGTGGCTAAGAGCAATTATACTTTGTGAAGGACCTGGGTTCAATTCCTAGCACCCACACATATAGGCTTACTACTTCCTCAGGAACCAGGCATGCATGTGGGACATAGACATGTGTGCAGGCAAAGCACTCATGAGTAAAATAAATCTTTTTTAAAAAAGAAAAGAATGAACTTAAAATATTTTTAAATTAAAAAAAAAGATTATTTCCTGAAAGACTCATGTCTGAATCTTAACTTTTTCCTTTCCCATGGCTTCTTTTCATTCTTGAAACATGTTAAAACTTCACTAGGTTTAAAAATACAAGGCAAAGTACATTTCCATTGGGCCCGGGCTTCTCATCTGAGATGTTAGCTTCTCCACCTCCTTTTGGAATCAAAGTGGCTCCCTTTGACGGTGGTGGTACAGTAGGTGCACAAATATTTACTTAATAAAGAAATATCTTAAACTATTGACCTCTTTTCTGGCTTTATTTCCTCACTACCAACTGTGTAAACCTAAACACTCTTATCTATTATTTACTGAAATTACTTTCTCAGGAGTTCACTACCAGAGCAACAAAGATGTTTGGAAGTGTGGACTGCCTGGTTTATAATATCTTGACTTCACCATTCCCTTACTCTTGAGCTGTTAGGAATTTCCCCAATATTGCAATAGCTCAGTTACGCCTTTTGAAGAACTGGAGTCATCATGTGGATTAAGTTAGGAACATCTTACCACTCTATGCTAGAAACAACAAGCAATCAAACATGTGGCAGTGTCACTTTTTTATTCTCATGTTCTCTATACAGTTCCAACACTATTGACAATTTGACAATCTGACTAGACTCAACATTAGTAGATGAGTATGTGCCTTTAGTTTTAAGCCTCTAGTTAAATTACTATGAAATTAAATGAACAAGAGATGATCTTTAGTATTCTAAATCAGATAGAACTTACTTTGTTCTTTCCAAACTTTCCCAGAAATAAATCCAGGAAAGTCTCGTTTGTGTAAGAAAATACTTCTGCAGAAAAAAAAGGAAAAAAATATTTCAGACAAGATTAAAGTGAAAGCACAAAACCTTGCCCATCATAGGATGTCACATGACTTGCAAGTTGGCAACGGCTGGTAGATTAAATAAGGAGTAACCGGTAAGGCTGACTCATACTTGAGAATTCCTCTGTTTACAATACCATAATCTACCCTCTGTTAGTTTGAGCTCAACTCAGTTTCAGCCAATAGCAGATATCCAACAAATCAAATGATGAACAATATAACAAATGTCTAGCTAGTACTGGAGAGATAGCTTAGCAGTTAAAAACACTTGTTGCTCTTATAGGGGACCCAGATTTTGTTCCCAGAACCCAAGTGTTGGCTCATAACCATCCATAACACTGTGATCCAATACTCTCTTCTGGCCTTCATATACACTACTAAACACATGGTGCACATACGTGCAAGCAAAACACTTAAACACATAAAATAAATCTTTCATTTTAACTTGTTTTTAAAATGCCTAGATGTGCCAGTCAGATTTCTCTATTTTGTTTCTGTGTGGAGTGTATAAAAGCCTGTGGCAACATTGCTGCCTGAAGCTCTTTGAGCTGCTCCTGATTCTAAGGGCTGCCTGATTCAAAAATTATTCTTTGCTCAATAAACCCTATTAAATTTAATTTGTCTAAAATTTTCCTATTAATTAGAACAGTATTCCACTGAGATAGCTTTATAACAATAAAATGGCTTTTGTAAGTAGAACATTATTAACAGTTATGAGGTAGTGTTAATGAAGTTGAAGCTTCTTATTACTTTCTTTAACCCTTGTTTCCCTTCGCAGCAGCTGGGACAGCTCACACAGGATTGATCTGCTCAACACTGCAACATAGATGGGGCTGATAAGGCCCCACCCTACCCCTACTGTTCTTCCCTTTATAGTAAGTCACAATGCTTATTATTCCAAATCTGAAGATCATATTTTAATTTTATTATCTGTGTGTGTGTGTGTGTGTGTGTGTGTGTGTGTGTGTGCACCTATACAATGCCCTGGTATTCCTGTGGAGGCCAAAAGACAACTTTGAGGACTTGGTTCTCTGCTGCCACCATGTGGATTCCATTCAGGTCATGGGAAGTGGCAGCAATTACCTGCTAAGCCATCATTCATGCCCTGAAGGTCATATGTGACTTTTTCTCACACTTGCTACAACCATCTATCAACACAATGTATTGGCTAAAGCTTCAAAATTTCAAGCCCTTCTTGCCATCTCTCTACTACTGCAATCATAATCTGAGTCCCTAACCCACTTCCACCAGACAGCCTGTGTTCAGGCTATTCCTGTTTGTTTCTAGTCCCATCTTCTGAACTATGGCAACCACCAGGATCCTTTCTAAAGAAGGTAGCTGATATTAACTCAAAACTTACAAATGGCCTGCCCTCCATAAAAGCTGGCTCTACTTTAGGCCCTTGTAATACCCACCAAATTCAGGCTATGTATTTCTTTATGGTCATTCTCCAGATATCTGAGTCACAATCTTCTTCCTTTATTCAAACCTAATTTCCCATCTTTCAGAGAACATTCTTGAGCAGCCTACCTTACTTGTCTGTCTGTCTGTCTGTCTATCTATCTATCTATCTATCTATATCTACAACTACTTTTTTTTTCTAAAGTAGTTTTGGGTACCTAATATATTCTACTGGGGAAGAAAAATCAATAAAATCTTCAGACCCATAGAATTTTCAAGTTTTTTTTTCTTTTACTTTTTTAACTATGTGGATTCTGTGCAGGTTCCTGCACAGAATAAGACTTCCCTTGAACTGCAGTTACAGGGGGCTATAAACCACCAGGAGTGGATGCTGGGAATCAAATTCTGGTCCTCTTCAAGAGCAGTATGTGGTCTCCACCGCTGAGGCATTTCTCAAGGCCTATTTTGAAGTTTTATTCACTGCTAAATCCCCAATAACTATAAAGTATTTGGCATATGAAAGATGAGATGTGAGAGACAGATACACTGATAAACACATAGGTACATACAAACATACACAACCTTAATAAGTGACTCGTATTGCTAGGAAATATAAAAGAATTAACCTTAATGAATGTCTTTTATGACCATATACTGGTGTTTTAGTTTTAGTCTTTATGTGTGGGTTTGGTGTGTGCTTGTTTATGCACAAGTACAGGTGCACAGAAACGTTTGCAGAAGCCAGAGGTTAATATCAGGTCTAGCACCCTCAACCTTAGTTTTTGAAACAAAGGTTTCTAATCGAACCCAGAGCTTGGAATTCAGCTAGATTAGCTGGTGAGCAAACCCTGTCTCCACTTTCTCAACACCAGCACTTCTCCAGTGCCAGGACTATAGCACATCACACCTGGCTTTTTCTATGGGTGATCACAATCACCTTTCCTGACAAAATATAAACATCCTAAATATAATATAAAAATATAAAAATACAAAAATCCTAAAATTATCAATTATCCAAATATTTCAACTTTAAGATATTGTTTCCCAACTCCATGATTTTTAGAATCTAGGATTAAATCTGTTGAATACGGTGTAGAAAACCTGCTTAATATTTTGAAGATAAGGCTGAAGAGATGGCTCAGCGGTTAAGAGCACTGACTGCTCTTCCAGAGGTCCTGAGTTCAATATCCAGCAACCACACGGTGGCTCACAACCATCTGTAATGGGATCTGACACCCTCTTCTGGTGTGCCTTGAAGACAACTATATATACATAAAATAAGTAAGTAAATCTTTTTTTAAAAAAATTGAAAAAAAAATTAGAAGTAAACAAATCTGTAACTTTTAAAAATACACAGTAACCTTAACTTAAATTTTTCTTTTATTTTTAGTTAGCTTTGTAAAGCAAAACTTAAATCAAAAATAATTACATGAGTAAACATTTGTAAATGATTAACAAGTCATGCCTCTTTTTTTCTTTGTGAGTTTTTTAGACAAGCTCTCAGGTAGCACAGGCCAGTGTCAAATTTACTAAGTAGCTAAGGATGATCTTGAATTACTGATCCTCCTGGCCCCATCTCCCAAGTGCTGGGACTACAGGAATAACATCATTTTAATGTGAAGCCATGGCTTTTAATATTAATTAATATATCATGCAAAAATACAGTAATATGGCTAGGGTTTTCCATTTACTAAATAATACAGTCTAAGCAAAACTTTGAGGAAGGCTAAAATGCACATATTGCACATAACAACCACAAACTTCTCAGTTTTCTTTGCCTTTTGCAGTGCCCTACTTTGCTAAGGTTCAAACTAGTCCTGGTGAGACTGAGTTCTAATGATAGCATTGGGAATAGAACCAAGGGCAGTGCTTATGGCTATGCCATTCGAGAAGGTGCCAACATCACTAGCTGTCCAAGCATAATTGTCCTTCTCTTCATTAGGATTATGTTTTATTTTGTCCTTGTGCCATGATATTGAATAAGACAAGCATTTTACATTTAAAATCAAAACTGGACTTGTAGCACAATAAAAAAAAGTTCAGTCCCCTGAACACATTCCAATTTGAATCATTATATCTCCATTTTTAAAATAGCTGGTTTTAAATAGTTTCAATTGGAAAGTTTATTTGAATTGCTACAACTTCACAAAGTTGAATGGTGGATGAGTGATCTTTCTTTGGTCTGAACATTCTGCTAGCAATTTAGAAATTTTTATACACAAAAAATAATTAAAATGTAAATCTAAGATCCAGTCAAATTTTGTATTTTTACACTAGGATCCAACAAAAAGGCCCAGCTTTGTTCCAGATTTTCATTTATATAGCCATTAACCTAGTGGCTCAAAACTGTTTAATTTTCCATACAGAAACCATTTGAATACACGGATCTCTTTTGGCATATCTTCCCAGGAGATTATTAAGCTAAATCTGGACTTCTTTTCAGGCCAGTTTTGCTGTGATGGTCCATTTGCAGACTCTGGCAGCCAAGCAAGGACCATAAGGATCTTTTGAAGTGAAGTAGGACAGCAGAGAGAGAATGGCCCAAGAATCAAGGAAAGAAATTTTCCACTTTGCAAAGCTTTTTTTTTCTTTTCCTCCTCCTCCTCTTTGTCCTCCTCCTCCTCTTCCTCCTCTTTGTCCTCCTCTTCCTCCTCTTTGTCCTCCTCTTCCTCCTCCTCCTCCTCCTCCTCCTCTCCCTCCTCCCCCCTTCCTCCTCCTCTTCAAGGGACAGTGATTTTGAAAAGAATGATAATGGGAAAGGTCTCATCATCTAAAAGTTCACCACAGGATTCCATACCTAACAAATTATGCCCCAAATAATCACTTCCAAACTGTCTGTAATATTTGCCCATATCTAGGAATTTTCCACTCACTGTCTTTCATCTGTTAATACTCTCAAGAAAACGCTCATAAAAGAGGAAAGGAGAATCAAGCTCTAAAGTATAGTTCAGCTGTGCTCTCTCACAGCTACGAGTCATCTGCCCAACTCAACTTGCCTCAGTTTACTTCAGTTCTACCTCAGCTTGCTTCAGTACATCTCAGTTTAACCTCAACCTACCTCAGTTTACCTTAGTCAAGTCAGTATAACTCAGCTTACCTCATTTGACCTTGGTAAATGGTAACTTGCTTTAACCTCTGCTTGGGTCAGTTTGTCTCTGCTTAATTAGGTGTAATCTCAGTTGGCTTCAGCTTGACTGTGTAATTCAGTTAAACCTCAGATCGCCTCATCACACCTCGGTGTATCTCAGTTTACCTCAGCTTTCCCCTGCTTAATTAGGTTTAATCTCAGCTTGCCTCAGTTTACCTTATCTCATCTCAGTATACCTGTTTAATTCCGCTTGCCTCGGCTTATTTCAACTTTCTTCCGTTTGCCTCAGTTTACCTCGGCTTACTTTATCTCACCTCAGTGTGCTTCAGTGTACTTCGGTTTACCTTAGCTTGCCTCCACTTGGTTTAACCTTGGCTTGCTTCAGTTTACCTCAACTTGCCTCGCGGCCTTTGAGCGAGCCGGCCCCTCATTGGCCGCATCCCCTCGAAGCCCCGCCCCGCGTTCCGCCTGGTTTCCGTCGCGAAGGACGCGGCGTCGGTTGGTTGCCAAGATGGCTGCGGCGGGGTCGCGGCCGCCACCTCCGCCGACGCCCCGCGAGGTCGCCCTCCTCGCCGCTGCCGTCGCCAGAGTCGCCGGGGCCGCTGCGAAGCCAGGACTGCCGCAGCCGAGCCTACGACGCCCGTGACGCGGGGCCTGGGAGACGCGCGGCCCGGAGCGCCGAGGAGAGGACGAGGGAGGCCGAGCGGCCATGCGGGCGGCGCTGAGGTGAAGGATGCTGGCGGGCAGGCCCGGAGCCCAGAGCGCAGGCGCGGGCGTGGGCGCCGGACCCCCGGTCGCGCTGGGCGCCCGGGACGGCGGCGGGCGTCCGCGACCCGGCGCTTACTTGTATCCTTTCCACGCCCTCCCCCCGGGAGCACGCACGCAGGGGCATGGAAACTGGCAAGTCATTTTCAGTGCGGATATTTGCTTTAGCATCTGTCACCCTACCCCATTCCACCCCTGACCTGAAGTTACACTTTGGTCTCCTACTTTGTGACCTCTTCCCCCGCCTCCCTGCCTTCCCACACCCGTACTTCGCCTTGGCTGTCAGATTTTTGTAGCTTTTTAAAATGCACCGGATCTGTATTGGATGGACCTGTATTGTATTCGCCGTTTGGAATTATGGCGTTATACCCTTTACTTACAGGGACGTAAGTCTTAGTCGTGCTCCTTAGAAAGAGAAATTGCCCAGAGATTAAAATCTTGGGCTGTTCCATTTTAGTTGTTAGCCGCACTCCCTTTCCAGGGCTGCAGAACCCTAGCACTTTCTGATCATTTTGTCTCCCATCTCTGCCCACTGTTGTCAAACAGACGAAAGGAAAAGCAGGGAACCCGAACCTTGACAATTTAGATTATTTCTGATTTTTCCCTAAGAAATCGTTGAACTCCCTCCCATTTGATGTTACTGTTGGTAACATTGTGGAAATGTCAATAAGCTTTGTTTTCTAAGTGCATAAAGCAGTTTTATTCTTCCAGAGAACTTTATGATAACTAGAATTTACCCTTTGTATTCTCAGAAGACTGGCTGGTGGTGATGATGATGTTTGGTCAATCTGTTTTTCTCAGAAAATGGAGTCACTTCTCTTTCCTCAAACGAGGGTCCCTTCCACCACTACCACCCTCCCTCCAGTTCCTTAGCAAGAGGTCCCACCTTCTGCTGGAATATGCTCTTACAGTTTTAACAGCAAATCATCAGTTTTCTCCTCTTCTGCTGATCCTGCTTTGGGTTCTAAGGATGCGAATATGTTAGGGCTACATTAATGCCAAAACACTCCCTCCCCAGGGATTCGTGCCCAGGCTTCCATCCCAGGGACTTTCTGAGTTCTGGACAGTAGCCTGCAGTAGCAGCTGCTAGCTTGTCTGACATTGAATCTTCTTATACACTGAACTCTTACTACGTTATCCTAATTTGTCTCTAAATCAGAGTACAAGGAAATGGCTTGTTGACAAAGCATCCATCTCTCCAGTTATTTTCATTAATGACATATCATTTTTTAATTTATGTGATAAGAACATTGAACCAAGCAAGTGGGAGTAAGGAGACAAAAGTACGAAAGTACGGCTATAGTCAAAGTTCCAAGAGACAGAAACAGTTTTAAGTGGAGGCAGTAAGAAGAGGTTTGACTAGATCTGGCAAGGAAAATGCATTGTATGATAGTTTCTTGTGTTGATAACCTAATTGGAGAAAGACTAAACAAGGAAGTGAATGCCCATAGTATTCTTCACTTTGTAATACTAACTATATAAAAATTATATTCTTTGGAGTAGATGTTAGGGTGAATTGTTTCGATAATGCATACAAAAAATATTAAGCATCTATCTAAAAACTTGTATACCATTTTTTAGATGATAGAAAGACAGAAACATTCCTTATAGTGTAGTAAGCAAGATCATACTATACTATTATATATGCCATATAGTATATATCCTAGTGTAGGAACTAGGTTTAATATGTAGTAGGATTATCTGGATAAATTTAGGAATATATAGGTATCAGGACATTACACTTGTAATTTTCCCAGAGTAACTTAAACTTGTTCTTCCTACAGTGTTCTCTTGAAAGGAAAAAGTTGTATTTTCCTCTATGGATGACTTGTGGCTTTTAAAAGCTAATCATCTTCTTGAAGTCTGATCCTAATAAAGTATTCAACTAGAAAAGAAAAAGATATACCTAGACTTGTTGCTACACTGTTAAAAACCATATTTCCTTCCCTTTTATATCATGTTTACAAATCCTTCAGAAGACATCTTTAAAAATATTACATATATGTCTTTCAGTTTGTATTGATGTGGTACAGGATTTTAGTTGAAATGAAGGCAAAATGAACTCTAGCCCGTGGAGAAAGTTTTTAAATGACAAGACTGTTACAAACTTACTCCCTTGGTAAAGCTCAGACAAGAGTTTATATACATTTGATTATTCTGAAATATATAATAGAATTTCTTTATAATATTGATGCAAAATATTATGACCTTGAAATTAATACATTTTGAATTAACAAATCATATGTACCCTAACATTATTGTATGTATTTGTTGTAAGTCTATATTATGCAAACCAACTTTGGCCCTTAGCTTTTCCTCAAAAGTTTAATCAGCTGATTTCTATAAAATAGACAAATATTCATGCTCTACAATCTGTAACTTTGATGTATCTCACTCATTTCTAGGTCTCAAGTGGGGTGCTAGACAGTTAAGTCAGTGGTTCTCAGCCTGTGGGTCGTGCTTCCTTTGGGGGTCAAACGACCCTCACAGAGGTTGCAAATCAGATATCTTGCATATCAGATATTTACATTACAATTCATAACAGTAAAAATTTACAATTACGGAATAGAACAAAAATAATTTTATCATTGGGGTCACCACAGCATAAGGAACTATATTAAAGAATTGCAGCATTATGAAGGTCATGAACCACTGAGTTAAGTAGTAATTAACTGATCATTTATTAAATTTCAAATTCATGAAAAATCAAAAATATTGTGATAAATTAGATAACAGTCAAAACCCAAATAATTTGGAAAAGCCAATTAATCTTGTCAGTGCCAATTAAGCAATGGCTAGTTATATATATAAACTTCAAATTATTAGGATCACCAAAATACCCAATTTCCTTCAGAAAATTTTATAAGCTCATGACATATGGCTGTCCTTATATCTTTTCATAAGCCATCAACAGGGATCTTTGGAGAGAAAGTCTGTATTCACAAACATTATAATTTATTGTTTATATTTGCATATAAATTTCATACTGTAGACTAAAGGGCCCATTGAAACATTGAATTCATCTACTCTGTGTTACTAAAATCTTTCATTTCCTTACGTATAAACCTAGTAACTATCCAAATATCTGTATAATGAACAAAAATATGTATTTTCATTATCTAAGTTTGTGATTTCTAAAAGTAATTTATTTTCCCCTCATGGAAAGTGAAAGATACCTTAAATCCATATACCAAGTCTAAATGTGTGTGTGTACATGGAGAGATTAATCTCACGTTTGCTGAACATATACTAACACTAATATGTACACAGATTGTGTAGTAGGTCCCACAAGAGCCTTCTAATGTTATTACCATGAGGCTCTAATTATATCAGACAGTCTTGACATGCACTAAATATGTAAACTGTTGTTCTTAACTAAATGGCATCACTAGAGATATGAAAATCCATCTCGAGAAAAATTTAGAAGAAGAACGCCAGATACTACTACAGCAACAAAAACTATGTCGGAACCGAGCACGTAAATATTTCATGGAGTCAAACCGAAGGAGAAAGTAAGTAATAGTATTTTGTTCAGAAGTATAGAAATGCAAAGTCATTCTAAGTTATAGTTGCTCTACTTTGAGGTACTTCATAGACTTGAGTCATGACCATGGTTTGTTTATAGAACAAATGATCGGTAGTTTCATAATTTTGTAAATTTTATTTTTCTAAACTACAATATAGAACCAAGTCTATATTCTAGTTTATAGATTGTGACCATCACGGTTTTTCCTTGATACAGAACAAGAAATTTAATTACAAATAGACTATGATTTGACTTTAATTTACTATTCACCATATATAATTTTTACCTGCTACCCTTCTCCATTCGATTATAAAAAGAGGGGAGAGATGAATACTGATATAAATCAAATTTTATAAATCATTACCAAAAAAAACTGTCTGTGGAAACTATAAACTATAAAATGCAGTAAAATTAAAATTATCCAACTACTTCTTAATCATTTTTAGGATTTTAGTTATTAAAATTTTAAAGATAGTGGTTTTGTTGTTGTTTTGTATTTAGTGTGTATAAGTGTTTGCCTGGATGGATGTAGGAACACTACATGCATACCTGGCACTTACAAAGACCTGAGGGAGCTGTTGGAGTCCCTGAAACTGAAGTTACAGATAGTTGTGAGCCACCCCGTCTCTAATTCTTAGCAAGTATTCTTGACCACTGTGCTATCTCTAGAAACTGATGAGGTTTTTCAACTTTTTTAGGCTGAATGGTTACCCATTATTTAAAATTTTTTATTACAGCCTTATCCATGTTCTTGTAATCTATGGTACAAAAAGATCCCTGGAGCTTATTGACTCCATCATTGGGCATATGCTGCAAATCCCAGTTGGGGAATACAAAATTGTTTGCCTGTAATTTTTTTTTCTGACATTGTATTTCTCTTGAGATTAATCCTTTCTTTGTCGAACAGTGTTAGAATTTTTTAATGACATTTATTTTGGTTTTGTTCATATGCTTCTGCTTTTCTGTTACTTTCTGACTCCTGAAGACATTATAAGGCACATGACAAGAATTAGTAAAGATGATTAGAAGTTTATGTAGTTATTCTGTCTAATCAAGGTAAAGTCAGAGCATTGTAGGTTTTTTAGTATTTAGCATTTTTCCCTTCAGATAAAGGAAAAGTACCCACCCATTTTTTTTTTCAGTTGTCTTAGGAAGTTATCTCTAACTGTTTAACATGTCACAGAGTAGGAATCTCTAAAAATTCATATTCTAGAAGGTTAAAAATAAAAAAACATATAGGGGGATGATAGAGGGAGTGAGGTGGGAATGGGTGGGAGAGTGGGAAAGGGAAGGGAGGGTGGGATGGGGAGTTTACAGAGGGGACACTGGGAAGGGGAACAACATTTGAAATGTAAATAAATAAAATAGTCAAGTAATAAGAAAGAAAAAGAAAAGACATGATTCTTATTCTCAAATCGTTAAAAATGTAATAATGAAAAATAACAGTTAGTGAATACTGTGGTGGAATCTCCTATGAAGTAGGACAGAAGCACATCTCATGGACTATAGTACAAGAAAGAGTTCTTGGAAGAATAGTTAGCCACATGTTAGCCAAGGAACATGAAAGGAACCATGCTTTATGTAAGCAGAATAGAAGAAAAGTCTAATATTATAAAATATGACAGAAGATGTATGTGGGTGTTATGTGGGAAAATGTAGATGAGTATCAGATGACAGGAGATAGCTTATGAAATATGTATACAAATCTAAAGAAAGTGTAGAGAATTTTCCCATGCTAGATTATAAAGACATTATCTTTAGGTTGTATTAAATAAACAAAATTAGAGATGTTCATGATCAAATTTATATCTTATCTCATTATACCAAAGAAGCAGCAGATGAAAACAATACAGACAAAAAAGGTAGAAAACTATTAGACTCTCCAGGCAAGTGAGAGAACATGGATGAGGGCTTGGAGCTGAGCGGAAGTCAGGCTCACTTACAAAGAGAGTTGTCAGAGTTCTTACAGATTAGGAAAACTCTAATATTTTATGTAAATCTTTCTAGAATAACATTTTAAGCTTTTATATGCATTGTGTACATCAATAAAGGGAGTTTTTTTATCTTGTACCATAGACTCACTGGTATAGTTTGGAATCTCCTGTACAGCTACATTGATTGTACTTGTGATATTCTGCTTTACTGTCCTCTTTTAATTATCAGCTGTTTCCACATTGATTTATTCCTTGTTTTTTTCTTCTCATTCACACATGTAGTGTACAATAAGTGGCCTCTGACAGGTAACATTGTTGAATTCTTCTATTAAAGATTTTCTAAACTTCTCCACTGTTCACTATAATCACTTTTTAGAAATTCAAATCTTTTCTTTAAACAGAAGTAATATAATTTTTTTAAAGATTGATTTATTTATTTTATGTATATGAGTACAATTATAGCTGTCTTCAGACACACCAGAAGAGGATGTCAGATCCCATTACAGATGGTGTGAGCCATCATGTGGTTGCTGGGAATTGAACTCAAGACCTGTGGAAGAGCAGTCAGTGGTCTTAACCACTGAGCCATCTCTCCAGCCTAGTAATACAATTTTAACTTCAGGAATTTAAAATGCTGAAATGGAAAATAAGAATACCAAATACAACCTGTCTTTGTCCATAACAATGATGTAAGATACTTAAAGATGTACTCAATACTTTCTTATGAAGTAATTGCAAATTTATTAGCAATTGTGAGTTTTCCGTATGTCTTTAACCTAGTTTCCTCCAATGACAGCATTTTACAAAATTATAGTATGATATCAAAAACAGAATAGTGACATTCACATGGCCAGTTCACAAAGGTCACTCATGTATCCCTTTCATAGCTACAGCCCTTCCTACTCCTGATCTATTGGTCCTCATTTCCGGTTTTGTTTTGTTTTGTTCATTTTTTACACTATTAAATAAAATTGTAATACGCAACCCTGGGGAGTTATGTTTTTCCCTCTCAGAACAGTTCTGTGGTATTAACTGTTATTGCTGGGTAGTATTCCACAAACACATATACCAGAAACATGTTGGGTTCAAGTTGTTAAGAGGTTGTTATTGCTGCTGGTGGTGGTATTGATGATGGTTGGTTGGGTTTTTTTGGTTGTAGTTTTCTTTGTTTATTGTAATACTATCACTGAGTCTTCCACTGAGCCACATCCCCAGCCCTACAACTAAGATTTTTTAAACTGTTTCCATATTGATAGATATCTGAGTCATTTCTAGTTGGGGGTGGTGTAGATAGAAACTGTAAATTAATGTATAGTTTTCATATAAACATAAGCTTTTATTTCTCTGGAATATATGGCAAGGAGTACATCGCTGACTCGTATGTATGGCCTCTACATACTTACAGCCTTTCTCCAGAGTGGCTCACTGCACCCACAGCAGTGTGCATCCAGACTTTCTCTGTAGCTCCTTGGTTGTTGCTCTCAGTGTTTCTATGTTAGCCATTCTGTATGGCATTTAGGAAGATCTTACCATGGTTTAAGTTTACAGCTACCTAGTGGCTAGTGGTGTAGAGTATTCTTTGGGTACTTGTTTCCCATGTGTCTGTCCTTTTCATGTTTTTTTCTCTAATTCTTTTAACTGTTAACTGTGTTCACATTGATTTGGTCACATTGGGTTTCGTTTCTTCACACACACATGCAGCTTGGAATGGTCATGTTCATCCCCCCTCTACTTCATCTTCTGCCACCAATCACACTTCTACTCTCCCTCACTCACATCCCAGGCCCTGGGATCATTACCAGTTCTTGTTATAATTTATTCTTCTACTGGGGCAAGATGGCATTTCATTGTAGCTTTGATCTCTATTCTCCTGATGACTAATAATATTGAGTATTTTCTCTTGTATTTATTGGATTTTTGTACTCCACATTTTGTGAGGTGTATAGTCAGATCATTTTCAAAAGTTGTTTATTGAATTACTTGGGCTTTGATAAGTTTTTAAGTTCTTTATATATTCTAGAACATATCACCAGGTTGTTCTTTAGGTCTCAAAGTCCTAGCCAATCAACTTCCTCATCTCTCAGACTCTTCTTGTAAGATAAATACATAGATGGATGATAGACAGATAGATACATAGATGAATGATAGATAGATAGATAGATAGATAGATAGATAGATAGAAGATAGATACATAGATAGATACATAGATGATAGATAGATAGATAGAAGATACATAGATACATAGATACATAGATACATAGATAGATAGATACATAGATACATAGATACATAGATAGATACATAGATACATAGATACATAGATACATAGATACATAGATAGATAGATAGAGGACGCACCACTCAACAGTGGGAGCATGTTCTCAGAAGTGTTTCATTGGGTGATTTCACGGCTGTGTGAACATCAGTACTTACCTAAGCCTTATCTGCTCAGAGTAGCTTCTCTCTGATGTTAGTATGCCTCCTATGGAAGTGCCACTGCCCTTTTTTAATACATTATAGGAGATTTTTGCTAGAATTGAGCCTAAGAGTAAAAGTAACTAGGACTTAAGGAATTTTAGGATTAAGAAATCTTGGGATTAAAAGCTATGAGCTTTAGTTAACTAATAGTTACACTATCAGTTAAAGTAGTTTTCCAGCCAAGTGAAGGAAAATTCCTTGAAAAGATAGGAGTCTCAGTATAGATTTGAGGATTTCAAATAATTTTCTATCTTAACAAGAACAGGATTAGTAATATAAACCATGTGCCTCTTCACATGTAGAAAACTCAGGATAGCTTCTTTATTTCCTCGCAAGTTGTTAATACCATCATTTGATATATTTTATCCTTGAAAAATATTTTATCTAATTTCATTTTCATTCCTAGTTTTTCATTTCTAACACCTCAAAATATGGTTGAGTTTTAAATTACCATGTTTGAAAGGTGTAACTCTCCACATCTGAATAGGATTTTGTCCAAGAAATAGAAAGGTATTGCAAGGCAGACACTTCAGTTCCACATACTATCTCTTGGGGCCTCAGGTACTCTTACTGCTACTGCTTATTATGTTGCTACAGAAAACTGTCACCATGGCATGTTGTTTATTCCTAGGAATACTTCCATCAGGAGTAAGTGATGCTGCACAGTGGTAGACTCCTGGGAATGCAAAACTAACAGCTTAGCATGTGGTTGTACTTAATGAGGTCACTCACTTTGAGCTAAGGTGCTGTATACATTTCATGAGACAGAGCTACACGTGTTGAGCGGACCCTACAAAAGTCACCAAGGCAGACTGTATGTCTTCTGAAAAATGCTCAGCCCAGAGGCAGTAGATAATGACAACACACCTTCTGAATCTAAATTCTACAGAACCTTCTTTCTTGCTTTTACCACCTGTTTCTTCATTCCCATTGCGTTTATCTGAGTTCCTGACACATCACCAAATGAAGTAAATCTCAACTCCTGATGGAGTAAGGAGAGAACTGTAGTGTAAACATTGCTATACTTAATTAGTAAGACTTTATCATCAGGCCTATCACAGAGCTCAAGAGAAAAGCATTGGCTTGCTGCTCATACATATTCTGTCAGTACTTTAATTTTTGACACAGTTAGTTCAGACTATATATTCTATAGTCTTGGATGTGAAATTCTTTTCTGAGCACATTTTAATACAGAGAACAGGACCACTGTGGAAAAATATAAAGTAGTAGAGATGGCATTTTTGCTATTAAAATAACTTCATGTTGCAGCAAGGAACATACCACCTCTTACCTTCAGGATCTACCATTCCTCATTACTAAATTGGTTGTGTGTTCTCAGCTTACTCATGCAGCAAGTCTGTTTGGTCTGAGCATTTGCTTGCTGTTACTTCTGCTAGAGTGTTTCCTTTCTCCATAATTTTTATGACTGTCCCCTGTCTAGCTTAAATATCAGGTCTCCAGGGAGAAATGTAATATGACTTTCTAATTAGTGTTGTTAGTTTCAATCAGAATGTCACATAGAACTAATGAGTGTGAGTTTTCTTTTTTTTTCTTGCCTCGAGTTTATTAGTAAAAACAGCATAGGACACTGGTCATCTGTAAATGGTGTGTGGGTAGGTGTGTCACAGCAGTCCATCTGTCTTCACGTTGGCAGGAGCCTTTTCTATGGGGCCTTCACAGGGGCCTGGGCACCTTTGGGAGCCTGGGCTGGAGCTGCAGCCTGGGCCTTAACTGGAGCTTTGGCCTCTGCCTTGGTTTGAACCTTGGGCTTTGGTTGGCAGAGCCTATGACCCTTGGCCATGTAGCTTCAAATCCGCTTCCCAAGCTTGGGGTGAGTGATGAAAGCCAGGCGGCTGAGTTTGCGGCTGGGGCCCTTTGGCATCTTGGGCTTGATGGCCTGAGGCTTCACAAGGGCCTTGATGGGCTCTGTACGTGCACTCACTGCCTTTGCATTGTTGGCCTGCATCTTCTTCAGGCCTTTCTTGTTGTGCTTCTTGGCAAAGCGCATGTACCTCAAGAACTTGGGGTCAACCCCCTTAAGAGACTCGTATCTTTGTGACCGGGGTTTCTTGATGCCATTTCTGTGCCATTTGTGGGACTGGTTGTGTGTGGTGTGGTTCTTGGACTTGGCCATGTCTGTACGGTAACCCGCGGCTTCCGCAGTGCCGAGTTTTTATTTTTAAATGTACAAAGGAATTAATAGGACCAGATGTGCTGAGTAGATCACTGTGAGTTCTAAGCCAGACAGGTCATATAGCAAGTTCCAGGCCAGCCAGGGTACATAGTCAGAACTCCTCTCCAAAAGCAAAAACAAATGAAACAAAAGTAGTAAATAATCTGTATTAAATCTTTATCCCCAGATCAAATAAATAACAGCTAAGTGGTTTCCAGACGATAAGCTTGGACTTACTCCATGGCTCATTTGCTGCTGTATAACGCCCCCTAAAACTTGCTAACAAACACCATATTCTCATGGTCTGTGTTGACTGTGTAGCTGTTGGTTCTCCCTTCAACAATGCTATTTCGCTCAGATTTCATCTGTGGTTCTGAAGTTTATCTGTGGTGGATCTAAAGGTTCTGTTGAACTTAAAATTCATCATGCTTCTTCAGACACATGCTTTGTGCTAGGGCTTGATTAGCCAGTATTGCTGGAAACTGACCAGGCAGTTCTCTGCCTTTAGCTCTGTCTCTCTTTAGCTAGCTGAGCTGCATCTCAACATAGTGATCTTAAGATCATCGAAAATAATGTTTGCATCCTGGTATTTCCTAAAATGAATGTTCTCAAGCAACAGGTTAAATGCTGTAAAACTTCAAATGTAGCCTGAGAAGTCACACAGCATCACTGTCATAGAAGTCCATCAGTTATAAGAGTGACAGGACCAGAATCATTAAAGAGGAGCTGCATAATCATAGCAGAGAGTGGCTAGAATCTGTAAATAGCAGTATTGACATCTCAGTAATATGTGGTCTTCTAATCCATGAAGATAGATAGCCTTCCTTTGGAATTCTTTCATCTGTATTTTATAGTTTTTGATATATAAGTAATTTTTCCCTCTTTGGTTGAGGTTATCCCTAAAATGTGTGTGTGTGTGTGTGTGTGTGTGTGTGTGTGTGTGTCTGTGTGTCTGTGTGTCTGTGTGTGTCTGTGTGTGTCTGTGTGTGTCTGTGTGTGTCTGTGTGTGAATGAAAAGGCTTTCTTAACATCTTTTCTTTGGTTGTTCATTATATAATGATGTGCATAGAAGTGTGTTTTTTTAAAGATGTTTACTTCTTTTTAAGATTTATTTATTTATGTATATGAGTGCTTTATTTGCATGTATGCCTGTATGACAGAAGAGGGCGTCAGATCCCATTATAGATGGTTGTAAGCCATCCCTTGAAAACCTAAAGTTCTGTCCTCCAATCCCGTAGCTCTCTAGATGACCAGTTACATAGACACAGCAGGCCTTTAACAGTGGCCTGTGGTAACCTGGAGCAGGAAGAACCTTTAAAAATTTCAACCAGCTGTCCCCCAAGTTCCTACACAAAAAAAGTAGTGCCTTTCAACACTTTTCCTACCCACGTCAGGCTGCCCTTGCAGTCCTGCTTCTTATCAAACACTTCTTGAGTAATGCAAACACACTTTGTAAGAACAAAATTTAACTGTTTAAAGAAGTAAAACTAAAATAGAGAAAATAAAGTGCGTAGAAGCAATTATAAATAAAGGAGAAAGTTAAGAAAAGTGGGGACGTGGGGCGGACAAGCTAGCTTAGTAGGTAAAGATGCTTGTCTCACAAGCCTAAAACCTGAGTTTGACCTCCTAGCACCCCATACAGGTGGAAGGAAAAAACCCAGTGCCACAAAGTTGGCCTCTGATTTCCATAAGTTACTGTAGCACATGTACCCCTACACACACGCACACACACAATAATAATACCTTTAAAGCTGGACATTATGGGGCAGATATTTGTAACTTTGTCATCTGAAGAGTTCTGGGTTCCATATTTTTATAATAAAAAAAAAGCTGAAAACCAACTTTTTAATAAAGATGGTATTTTTAGCACAGGTAAGACTTATATGACGGCCAATTTTAAACTTTTGATGTAAAGTGTGAAGAAGTCATTTCCTTGCCTTCCCCATAATTTGCAAGGCTGCTTCTCTCACTAGTGAATACCAGAAACAGTGTGGCTCTTAGAAAAAGCTTTTTACCACAGCAGGTGGGGGACATTGGCTGGCCAGACAGAAGTCAAAAAAGGGCCCCTGCAGGGCCTTCTCTTAGTTACAAAAGATCTGAATGATGGTCTGAAACTCCATTTTATAAGTACATGGAAACTCAGCCAATGACCTGCTAAAAAATCTGAAATTTGCTGTGTCTGAGTCAAATGAAAGTGCTGTTATTTCATTAGTGGTAGTGTTTTCAGACCGTCCGGTCTGCTTTATTCAGCTGCTTGTCTATCGCTCCTGTATCCTTTATATGTTAATCCTAGAGCTTTTGAAGAAAAACGCCAAAAACAAGAGGAAAGAGAATATCAAATTAGAGAACAGATCCTGCAGCAGAGGAAACAAAAGTTCGAAGAAGTTACTGAAAAATTTCAGCGTGCCCATGTTCCTGTTTCTCAGAGAAGGAGAGCAGGTACCTTCATTTCTGGAACAATTCTAAGAACAAAAATGGGAGTTGTAATCAAATTTAAATCAAGTAAACAATGAAATTATACATTTTTAAAAAAGTAGAAACAGCCTGGTGTGCTGTGTGAGTAGCAAGTATTTTATCCAAATGAAAAATAGAAATTTTTATTTAAATTGAATTTGGAGAATATTGTGACTCCATTGGTAAATTCTCTATTCACTCACAAGTTTCTTTCAACTTTATGCTAGCTCACAATGTTTTGGTTTTTTTAAATCAATTTTGTAAGTAACTTAACAGAAAATTTAGCAGTTGGGTTCAGGAAATTAGTGGCACAGTCCTGGCATTTTACTCATGGTTTGCTTCAAATTTTTATTTGAGAGATTAGCAAACAAAAAGTCTACAAAGTAATACAATCCAATAGTCTAAGATCCACAACCTATTTAGAATTTAAATGTAATTGGACCAAGGAGATGGCTGCATGGATAAAGAAAGCTTTTGTGAGGCATGAGGCTAGAGTCTGCATGCCTAGAACCAACCACTTAAAAGTCAGGCGGCCACGCCAGCAGCCTGTACTCACAGCACTCAGGAAGCACAGGCAGGGGATCCCTAGGGCAAGCTGCTAGCTAGTCTTGGTAAGCTTTGGGTTCAATTGAGAGACCCTGTCTGAATAAACAAAGTGGAGTGCGATTGAAGCAGACATCCAACATCAACCTCCAACCTCCATTCACACCCACACACTTCAGCACACCCGTACACCTGCACTCACACACTTGAGCATGCATACACACATGCATATTAAATTTAACATGTTAAATTTATTGATATTAAATATTTATTTAAATAATTATTTTTATATATTTAAAAATAATTTTAAGTGTGAAAATGATTGATGCTTTCATATCACATCTACATTTTTAGCAAGGCAGAAATTACAATATGTCAAAGGTCACTAAAAAAAGAGAGCTGACAGTACCATTGTGTACCCAGCTATCATATGCTGTATTGTATTATACTGTCTCCAGTTATACTGAACTACAGAAATATGTAATTGTACTCTTAATACTAAAAACTACAACCTAAATTGGATAAGAATTTAAACAGTATCATTGGCACAATAGCAGAATGTGTAACTACTGGGAAAACATAGGAAAGAATGCTAAACCTATGTCAAGATGTTAGGTCATTGTTTCTAGAAAAATAACATTCATGACTCTTGAATCAGTATCTTACCAGGCAAAGAGAACAATAAAGGGTAGCCCAGATAGAAGGAACAGCTCATACAAATGAAATCTATCTTTCAATGTATCTGAAGCATAAGTTAGGGTGGTAAGAAGAGAAAAATATTAACTTGAAACTAAAAAAAGGTAAGCTGGAGCCAACACCTGAAAAAATATGTATGCCATACTAAAAAAGCTCATCTCTAGACAAAATGCCATTTTCTAACTGGAAAGTAAGTCATTTCTGTGTCAGTAAGGAATCTTAATATAAACAGGAGCTACAAAGAACACTGACATAATCAAAAGACACCAAAACATGTTAGGGATTTTTTTTCTCTCTCATAGAATGAGTCCTAAAGTCGGGGTCAAAAGCTGGTTGCGTGGTTGTAAAGTTTCAGAACAAAGACTCTGCTTTCGTTCAGCTACCAATTTCTAGACAGTTTCTATCTTTACTCTTGTAAAAATGGTAGCTGCTAGATCACCAACTATGAGATTGGTGTTCTAGACAGAAAAAAAAGAGGAAAATATGAAGTTATGTCAATGAATCCCCCTTAGCAGAGGCCTTCTTCATGTGTTTTTATCTGTTTGGCTCTATTTGTAAGGAAAGCTGGAACTTTCTTAATGTTGGGTATGTTTCTACTCCTAACAATATTTTCTTACTAAGAAAAGGAAGTGGATATCAGAGGGGTCTCTCACATTGAGATATGCTTATAAGAAGGGTAGCTATAGTAACAACATGGAATGTGGAAGAAAGCAGAAATATACCGAAGTTAAAAGGCTAGAAGGAGCTTCATGTGGTCTGTGAGTTGAATCTTGGGTATTTCTAGGCTAATATCCAATAATCAGTGAATGAATACCATGTGTGTTCTTTTGTGATTGGGTTACCTCACTCAGGATATTTTCCAGTTCCATCGATTTACCTAAGAATTTCTCAAATTCATTGTTTTTAATAGCTGAGTAATACTCCATTTTGCAAATGTACCACGTTTTTTGTATCCATTCCTCTGTTGAAGGACGACATCTAGGTTCTTTCCAGCTTCTGGCTATTATAAATAAGGCTGCTATGAACATAGTGGAGCATATGTCCTTGTTATATGTTCGAGCATCTTCTGGGCATATGCCTAGGAGTGGTATAGCTGGGTCCTCAGGTAATGCTATGTCCAATTTTCTGAGGAACCGCCAGACTGATTTCCAAAGTGGTTGCACCATCTTGCAATCCCACCAACAATGGAGAAGTGTTCCTCTTTCTCCAAATCCTCGCACTTCAGTCCTTCTTAGAAGGAATAACAAAATACTCAAGGGAGCAAATATGGAGACAAAGTGTGGGACAGAAACTGAAGGATGGGGCCATCTGGAGACCGTTCCACCTGGGTATCCATCTCATGTGCAGTCACCAAAAGTAGACGCTGATGTGGATGTCAGGAAGTGCATGCTGACAGGAGCCTGATATAGCTGTGTCCTTAGAGGTCTACCATAGTTTGACATATTCAGAGGTGGATACTCATAGCTAACCATTGAACTGATCAAGGGGTTCCCATGGAGGAGTTAGAGTGAAGACTGAAGGAGCTGAAAGGGTTTGTGGCCCCATGAGGAGAGCAACAATACCAACCAACCAGAGCTCCCAGGGTCTAAACCACCAGCCTGGGAGCACTTAGGGAGGGATCCATGGCTCCAGCTGTATACGTAAGAGGTCCTGTCAGGTATAGATGGGAGAGGAGATCCTTGGTCCCATGAAAGCTGGATGCCGTGTGCGGGGGATTTCGAGGATGGGGTGGTGGGAGTGAGGGGGTAGGTAGGGGCACATCCACAGAGAAGCAAGAGAAGGGGCGATGGGATAGGGGGTTCCTGTGTGGGGGGGAATGAGGTAAGGAGATAACATCTGAAATGTAAATAAAATATCCATTTTTTAAAAAAGGCTAGGAGGAGACTTAATGTTGGGAAGAGGTGTTAAATTTTTCAGTTAACCTGTAACTGTATATAGACATAAGAGGTAATCTGTTCAGATATCTGTCAGGATTATTAAATGTAGGAGAAGAAAAGCTACAAGGAAAATAGTACCTTGGAAACTTGGCAGAGAGCACTACATATAATATCCATTAATAAATAGCAATATGCTGCTAGATATGGTAGTATACTAGCAAATTTTTATTATATGTTATTAATTTATTTTGATATTTCAGACATGTATATAATAATATATTATTATCATATTCACCTCCATTACCCTCTCTTGTGTCTAGAGTTCAAGTTTGAATTAACTCCTGTGTAATAATATACCGGCTCTGTTTAAACATTTTGGAAAAGAGTACAGACAATAGAATAGTGGGGAAGTAATTGACAGTGTTTTAAAGTAAAAGGTTCTTGTTTAAGTGTTAGGTTTCCATGAAGAGTTAGAGCTAGAAAATCATCTGGTCTACCTCTAGGCTTGGAGAACTATGTATAGAATTTGATGAGTGGAACATAATGTTTCCATATGCAACGGATACAAGACCGTGAGGGGAACATTAGAAGTAAGGAAAAGAGAATATGTTGATTACCAAAGTGCACATTTGAAGGCTTTCAAAGTGGATGTATACAGAAAGCAAGATGGATGAGAGTTTTACTGAGCAATATAGGGTAGTGTCTGTATAGCATATGACTCTGAGGACATCACTTGCCTTCTTCTTACCTTAGCTTCTCAGCTGTAAAATTCAAACAGCACCTGTGTCAGACAAGATGAGCATACTGGAAAAGTGCTTAAAATAATCTCTGTAACTGATCATATTAGTTGATTTTTAAAATGTGAATTTATTCATGTGAATTTGTCATAAAATTTTGAGACAATGAGATCAAATATAAAGGAGTGTGTGTGTGTGTGTGTGTGTGTGTGTGTGTGTGTGTCTACACATTTTTCAAAGTTTCATATTTTCAAATAAATTTTGTCATAGAATTGACGATAAAAATCTCAAAGTAGGGAACTTCCGGTCTGGGCCCGAGCATAGAGCAGGTCACAGGCGGCAGCTCCATACCCAACCCCAGAAAACCGAGAGAAAGAGGGACTCCCAGGAGCTTTAACTCAGGCAGCATCCCAGGTTAAAATGAATCACCCGTGAAGGCTACTGTTAGAAGTTCTAATCCAGATGCTGGCCTCCAAATTTACACTACTCAGACCTTTGAAGGGCCACTGACAAGAACATCAAACAGCTAGAGATTGACATCACTAATCTGAAGAAATCTCTCGTTTCACTGTCTGAAGAGGCCTCCAAAAATCACAAAGATCCTTATTGGACTTGATTTACTCTATTACAATAGACAAGGCTGTGTATAGCTCTTGACTGTGTACAGCCCTTAAAGAAGGTTGCCTTTACATAGACAAGACAAGGAGGGTTAAAGAGAGCATGAAATAGGTCAGTGAAGGCCCTAAGAAAAATCAGAGAGAAAAAGAGACAGATGAATGCTGGTATAAGAATTGGTTTTCAGCCTCTCCAAGGTTGTCAACCCTATTTCCTCCCATCTTGGGATCATTATTTGGGTTCTTTTTGCTTTTTTCTGCTGCTCCCTGGCCCTCAAATAGGCAGACTAACTCTGTGATACAACAGACAAATAATTTGGTAGCAAAACCTATTCAGATACATTATCATAAGTTAGCTATGGAGGACCACGAGACTCAAGATGAGGTTGTTACTTTATACAGGGTGTTTCCAAAAACCATCTCCACCCAACCTAAAAGGGGGGACTTCTGCCCCTAGACCAAGCAGAGTGGGGCCACCCAGAATCCCCTCTGACAGGCTATCTGAATTCTTGCTTAGGCTGCAAGGCTAAGCACTGCAAGGGAATATAAATAAAAGATAAAAATATCTCTCTGGGTTTCCTGATGGACAAGCCTGACTGCATAGGGGATGATGTCAAAAGTATCCCCTCTCCAGGAAAAAGACATCGGGACGGGTATGGCCCTCATGCCTTACTGGACAACGACAGGGGGACAGGAGCCATTACAAGGTCCCCTTCCAATACTGGAGGTCAGGCCTCTATCCCCGCCTTCACAAGTTTAGAATTGCCATAGCCCTTCTATACTTAGAGAAGGGAGGAGATGGCAGGGGCAGCCCTGCTTACACACTGAAGGCCTAAAATCAGCCATAGGCCTAAAATCAGCAATAGGCCTGTCATACATGTATACTAACACCAAGTCTTGGGTCTCAGTGGAAAAACACTGAAACAGATGGCTATAAGTTAATGTCAACAGGCAGCTTTTGTGGAAATTTACCAGCCTGAGTAGTCATAGACCTTGTAAATAGGTAGCCTTGGCAGATAATACCAACTGAGATAAGGACAAGTGAATCATAGGTAGAGTCATAGTGACCTGTCCCCTGAACCTTCACCCAGCCGATACCCTGTCCTGAAAGATATCTGTACTCTCCCTGAACACCCACACTCCAGTGTCATTCCCTTCCCCACATCCTGCCTTTCTGTGTTTATAACCCCTGTGTGAATGAATTATGATTTCAGAAAAAATAAATTATATTAAATAAAATCTCAAAGTAACAGGTGTTTAATGACTTACATGTCAAATTTAAAATATTTATTCTAGTGTAAATATATTCCATAAGAGCTTTGAAATATTTTATTTTAAGTAAAATTATATATCAAGAAACCACTGTTGATAGAATGGTTCGTTATTGGTTTTTTTCTTCGTTTGTTTTTTACTGTTCTGTTAGTTTTTCAAAATCCAGCTCCTCCGTTAGAAGAAGCCCTGAAACAAATTCAAGAATCCAACTTAAAATCAGAAGTAAACATTCCTCTTTCCCACAGGACAGCAACAAACTGGCGGTGAGTAATTTATTATAACTGCATTAATGTTAGACTGTTATCTCTTTTGTATAATAATCAAGTGGCTTTATGCTTGCTGAATTTGTCATCTTTTTCATTGGTTACATCTTATCTTTGTTTTAAAATTTGTTTAGGTTTTTTGTTTTTTTCATAAATTAAGTATTAAGTCAAAGTTGTAATTTGGTGTCTTATACTCTAGTAGTACAAATACTGCCAATAGTGAATCATTTTCTATGAAAAGCATCAATACTGTTTCAATATATTGATGTTTACTGTCTATATTAAAGAGATACAATTGTTTAAATTGTATTTTGTTTAAAAAAATAATGTTGTAGTTGTAGTGGTATTTTTTTTCTTCACTCAGAATTCTGTTGTTGTTGTCTCAATAAAAAGTACACTTTTATTTCTGGTTCCTCCAGCATTTCCTAACTAAAGCATATAAAAGGAACAGCATGGACTAGGCAGTCATTAGGTTTCCTCTAGCAAATGTATTTTTCATTTTTTCCAAATATTTTTTATGTTATTACATGCAGAGAACTAGATGAAGCATTGGAAAGCAGTGTGGAACAGACTGTTAAAAATGCAATCCCTAGGGGCTGGAGAGATGGCTCAGTGGTTAAGAGCACTAGTTACTCTTCCAGAGGACCTAGGTTCAACTCCCAGCACTATATGGCAGCTAACAACTGTCTGTAACTCTAGTTCCTGGGGATCTGATGCCCTCTTACAAATATATATGCAGGCAAAACACCAGTGCATGTGATATAAAAATAAATTATTTTTTAATTAAAATATATGTATAATCCATAGTATATAACCTTAAAGAGAAGTAGAATGGCGTTGTGTAAAGTACTGAGACTGTGGGTGTAGCTCAGTGGAGAGCATTTGTTTCACCTGTGTAAGGCCCGGGATGGAGCACCAGCACCATGCAAAATACATAGATTTACATCAAATGAGTAGTAATAATCAGAATACTTACTTGTAGGAAGTTGTTAATGTTTCAGGCTGTAAATTTTGTTAATAATTTACCTATTCAAAATATTATTTCATTTTTAGAATTTCTCTTGATTAGAGCTAAAACATAATTTAATCCTTTCAGTATTCATTAGAAAAGAACTACTCTTTATTTTGAAGAATCTCATTTTAAAAAGAATGCTTCAGCCAAGCTTTGAAGAAAATATGAGTTAATCAGAACAAATGGCGCTGTAGACAGAATGGTGAGCACACGTGACAAAGCAATGATATATTCAGGGTAAAGTGTAGTTGAATCCACTGGCACAGTAACTCGGTGGAAAATGCTTAGCATGCACCAGACCCAGGCTTGACCTCCCAGAACTTCAGAGAGAGAGAGGGGAGGGGTCAAGAGAAAAAGAAAGACCCATATTTTGAGATAGGAATGGAGGTGCATGTCTTTAATCCCAGAGCTCATGATGTGGAGGCAAGAAGATAAAAATTCAGGACCATTAGGCCCTGTCAAAAACAGCAACAATAATATAGGTGAGTCAGAGAATACAGATGCTAAGAGCTTACCTAGATATGAGATTAGAGAGAGAGGTTTATATTAAGAAATATAAACGTTGGGACCATCAAAGTGGCTTAGCAGGAGCTGGGCAGTGGTGGCGCTCGCCTTTAATCCCAGTACTTGGGAGGCAGAGGCAGGCAGATTTCTGAATTCGAGGCCAGCCTGGTCTACAGAGTAAGTTTCAGGACAGCCAGGGCTACACAGAGAAACTCTGTCTCGAAAAACAAACAAACAACAACAACAAAACCAAAAAATGGCTTAGCAGGTAAATACACCTGCCACCAAGCTTGTCAACCTGTGTTTGATTCCCCAGGACCCCAGTTGGTCAAAGGAGAGAACCAACTTATGTAGCTGAACTCTGAATTCCACACGCATTCTCTAGTATATGTGTATACACACACAAGAAGTACAAAGAAGGGTTTTAAAAGAAATAGAGTATGCACTTATTCCTCAATTTTTAAGAGAATTTTAAACAAATAAAATCTTTAAACATACTATTATAATCATTATAGACTATTATACATTATAAAGAGAGAGTAGATAATGGAGAAAGGAAAAAAGAAAGAAAAAAACAATATTTCATGAAAAAATACATTATAAGTTTGGCATGATAGCATAAAGAAAATAAAAACAGCCAAGGTAAATGTGAGAATATATTGAGTAGAAGTTTGGAGACTTCTCAAAAAAAGTAAAAAATGAACTACCATATAACCTAGCTATTTCACTCCTGGGCATATACCCAGACAACACCATGTACCATCATGGAAATGTTTACACCCCTTGTGTATTGTTCCTTTATTCACTAAAGCAAAGAATTGAAATCAGCTTTGTTGTCTAACAGATGAGTGAATAATGTATATATATATTATATATATATACATATATATATAAATTATATATGTACACACATGTATATGAGATATATGTGATATAGTATATATACATGAGATATGTGTGTGCACATATATATGTATAAGTGTGTATATATATGTATGTATATATATACATATATATGTATATATATATATACACACACACATGAACACTACTCAACTGTAAAGAAAAATGAAGTTAAAAATATACATGGATGTATGTGTACATTATCAAATAAGGTCACACAATCTCAGAAAAAAATAAACCATATGTCCTCTCTCATATGTCTCTCTAGCCAATAATACATGTATATATATAAACAAATATACTGTGGGTAAAGTATAACAAGAAAACAGCTAAATTTAATAAGGTGATAAGAAAGAAGTGAATGCAAGAATGGATATGAGTTATGGAAAAGATATAATAAAACTAATTGTTTTTCTAGTGCTAATTTCATCATGAAAGCTTTGGTTTGATGGTAGATATGTGCATAAAATATTCAGTACTAAAATGTAAATTTTCATGTGAAGCTTCACCATTTCCATTTCAAATGGCAATTCTAATGGATATGTTCATTAAGTTGTATAGACTTAATTAATTTATAGAATCTGATTAATTTTAAAGTTAATGGTGTTTTTTATTTGCAAAGTTTTTACAGTGAACTTCACTAAAAAGGAGAATATGTTGATATTTTAATTTTTTTACGGAAGCTTTTTTAATCAAAAGATAGGAGTCTTCTTATAAATGTTAAATTTTTTTAATCAAAATTGAGACAAAGATGACTAGGAAGAGATAAAGGTTGTGATTTTATTATTACTTTTTTTTTTTTGAGTAGTTTTGTTTCCCAAACCAGATTATAGTTTTGTTCAGTATACTGAACTCTAGTGCTATACATCTTAGAAGAATTCCAGAAATAAGGGAGAATACCATAGATGTAAGTAAACTCTCTGAGGGTAGAAACTGACCTGAAGCTATACAAATGAGTAAGATAGTCATCAAAAACAAGCACTTCTTGCAGTTAAGCAATCATTCAGAATGTCATGTAGTAAAAGTCATGACAGTATCCTTGGATAGGAACATCCTTCAGGGAAGGCCACAAAGTATTTGAAAGTTAGTCTTTGCTGAGTTCATAGCTCCTACAAATGACAGCACCACTGTAGAACAATGCAGACACAGTGGATGAACCATTCCCAAAGAACCAACTTAGAAAGGTACCCCCAATACTCATCTAGCCCAGTGAGAAAGATAAAAAGATAACATTAACCCTTTACAGACATATACAAATATAGACAATATCACAGTCAGTTTACACAAGATTCAATGAGGAGTTCTGGTAGAGTAGGAAGAGGGTCTCCAAATTCAAAACTTCAAAAAGGCTGGCCTCAAGAGTGAGCCTGAAAAGGGGCAACCAGGGAGCTATAAAAAGATGATAGCTAGAAAACAAAAGCCATTAAAGACAGTGGTCACATTTCTATTTTTACAGTAATTGGCTAAGTAAGTAGTTGATCATAAGCCAAGCACCACATTGAAGTGAAGCATGCTAGAAATGCGTTAAGAACCAAAGTAAGAGACATGAAGGCAGTATGACTTTAGAATATTATGGAAAAGCTTGTCTGGACAAAAGATAGCACATAGTAGCCAAGGCAGTTGAGTTCATAGGGAATTTTGACTTTACAACTTCTAAACTACTTAGCATTTTTATACAGAGACCTTTCACTTTCCATGGGTTTTTTTCTGTGTTCAATTAGTATTTTGTGCTGATCAGATATTCTCCATTTTAAAAATACTTCTTTTGTATAGTGAATGAAAGCATGGTTGTTTTTCTTGCTCACCAATGTGCAGTTGTTTACAATCTTAGAAGGGTTAAACTGTCAAAATAATTTCAATTCTTCTGAGGCATTATGTTATTATTTTAGCAAATCTATACTAAAATAACTAAGTATTATATATTGTGTTTCTGAGAAATAATCTTCATTCTGTATCAAAATACCTAGTTTTTGTGTTTCTATAATATACTTTGTGTCTTTATGATCGCCTGTGTATATGTACATATGTAGCATAAGTCGTCATTTGAAAAGCAAATATCTATAATCTATGAGAGGAAATACTATGGTTAACTAATAAACAGTTGAATTGTTCTCCCCAAATAGCTGACAGTGTTAAATATTATATATTAAGCATTTTATAGACTATAAATATCATATATATATATGTATGAAATTTTAGACTATTAGTGATCACTTATTGGCTTTTTGTAAATAAATTCATTGCAAGTGTTTATACAAAAATTAATAAACTATTATCATGTTAGAAATACATTTCAGTGGAATATAAACCTAAAGTGGGTTCAGAAATAAAGTGATGCCAAGAAGCAGTTCCTGAGAAGCAGATCAGAGCAGGGGTTGTGGTGCTGGGGACTGAGTGGCCTTTGTGCAGGCTCTACCATGTAGCCATAGCCTCAGCCGAAGAGGTGGTTCTAACATAGAAAATGCTAGTTGTAAATTAAGATATTTTAAGATACTAATGTTATAATCTAAAACAGAAATTTGTTTAGAAAAGTGGAGACTAATACTTAAGCCTCAATTTAAATATAAGAATCAGTTTTAGGAACTACTTCAGGTAATAATGAGATATAAAAATATTAATAAGGTACTAACTTTTAAAATCTCAGAAATAATCAACCTTTCATCACAAACAATTTATCACAAAGCTAATCTGTTTGGCATTTCTGGTCGATAAACCCTCTAACAAAATGATTTTGTTAGATATCTATCTCCAATATCCATGTATTTGTGATGAGATGGTCCTTCTGAACCACTAATACCCTGAGATGTCTGCCTTTGATCCTCACACTAGTTGTTTAAACTAGATGTTCTAGCCCAAATCTGTGCATCAGACTTGGAAAGGAAAGGACAGGTGAACTTGAATCATCCATGTACATGTTTCAGTCAGTCAGGGTGAGGGATGTGGCTGACCAATGGAAGATCAAGCAGGAACCCCAAAGAATAAAGTCAGTCAACACTCTCCAGGCAGCCCAGTAAGAGTTCTTAAAATCTTAATGAGGTTCTTTCTACTTGCCTATCCAAATACTTTCCCACCTATGCAGATCCATTCCTGTTTGTCCAGCTGTCTCCAATCCTGATCCCTACTTCTCTGGCCAGCTGTCTGCCTCACGGGCCCCATTGCTATCCCATCATCCCGAAAGTCTTCCTAGCTATCCAGTTTTTCCTACCTCCAAGACCTGTGTCCTTCCATCTGTCCCCTCTACACTTCCAAAGACCTTTGTACAAGCCCCATTACTCTCTTATCCTATCAGATACCTCCCTCACCCTCCAACCCCAGTTACTTCTAGCTTTTCTAACAATTTCCCTAATCTACCAGACCCTATTCCTTCTGGGCCACCTATCCTTCGACCTCCCCCATCCCGAAGTTCTCCCAACATTCCTGATCCTGACTCACAGAACAGATTATTTTATAAAACTTTCAGACCCAAACAGTTCCTTGCAACACAGCATTCTACCCAAGCAACTCTAATGCCTGCGCTTATCCGCAGGTCCCTTCCAGCTCGGCTAGTTGTTTCTCCAACCCCCTTGGAGACTCTTCCTGTTTTGAAGCCTTCTAGTTTATCCAGGCATCCAGCTCAACCAGCCCCACCCATCTCTTGTATCACTCCTTTGCCTGAACCTTCTTCTAGGTTTGATGCTTGTCAGTCAGTTCAGAAATCTGTTCCACAAGCCACAACATTGTCAAATCAGTGCCAGGCCTTTGTAGATCATCTGCCTGCCTTGATTCTCTCCCACCCACCTCCCTGTCATTCTCCATCCTCTTCTTTGCCATCGTCACCTTCTACTTCCTCATCCTCTCCATCCTTGGGAGCAGTCTCTTCCTCTTCATCTATATGTTCTTCTCCTTCTCCTCCTCCTTCCACCTCCCCTCCCTTACCTGTTTCATCTATCCCTCTTTTACCCTCTCCCTTGAATTCATCTCCCTCTCCCTGTTTGTCTCCAGCTTATCTGGCTTTTCCCTCTCCAGTGCCTCCTCCTTCCTCCTCTTTTATGATTTCTTCTTCCTTTCCTCCCATGCGTCACTCTATCTCGGTCTCTACTTCCCCATCTCCTTTGATTCCTATCCATCCCTTCAATCCTCCTCACTGGGGGAAGAAAGTAGAGAAGAGGAGAGAAGAAAGTGGAGTAGAGAAGAAAGGAATAGAGAAGAAAAAGTTGAGAGACGACAACTTTAAAGGTAAATAAATTCAGTTTATTAGACATTCGTAGATTTAGCTCCTATTTTGTTTGGGAAGGGTGACTAAAGGGGAAAGATGATGTAAAAGTAGAAAAGTGTTTAAAAAAAAAAACTCGACAAACATGCCATCACTGTTCAAGAACATGTACTAAATACCTTCTCACTAGCCCTGATCTCCTGGTGATAAGAAGGGCATAATTGGGAATGTAGTAATCATTGACCTCAACAATTCTGGCCTGTCTAAATAAAGACATATATGGGTATTGGAGATAGTTATATGTCACATGTGGCAATATGCCACCTTCAAAATGTTTATCCTGATTTAATTGAAAATAACTGAGTTGGTAATAAATGTCCTTGGGATTCATGCAACTGGCCTTAGTACAGGACTCATTTTCTGTATCCTTCATCATCATCTTAATCTTGGAGGAATTAGATTTTTCACTTAGTGTATATACTAAAATGTAACAAACTATGAGTTTACAAGAAGCACAAAAGAGTCTAATAGAAGAGGTGCCCTGAGTTTCCAGACAGTACAACATTGTTAAAAAAGGTAATGTCCTGATTGGACACACTAAAAGTAGATGACATTGAAGACACTCCTTCTGTAGCATAAAAAAAAATATATGTGCTTGTATTTCTGATTATATTCCTGAAACAAACTAAAAATAATGGCTTATGTTCACGATTGAGGAAGAGCCACACTCTCATATAGGGAGAACATTCATACCTACCCTGACAAAGCAGCATTCATAATTTCTATCTGCTTGAATCTCAGCCAACTCTTTCAAGGATGTAGAAATACCCAGTAGCCATGACACCAAGAACAAAAGCTAGTAAATATTAAAATATATATCTAGAGAAAGGAAAACTGGCTGCAAAGTCACAGAATTTCTACCCTAGCCCAAGTGATTAAAAAACTAGAATATAGTGATCAAAGTCATGAATGAATGAGCATCCTTATGTGCTGCTCTTCTTTACTGGCACTCTGGTCTCATTGCCTTGAAGTCCCATTATAATATATCTATATATTCCTCCAATATCCTTATATGAAATTATCTAGACACATGCACATAGTACACAATTGTGTCATTTATATACTTACAGAAATAAGTTAATTTCAATTAAATGAACTAAATCTTTTCATATCTTGTTCACAGAGCTATAGATTCTACCTTGCGTTCAACGTTGTCAAAAAATGATCATAAACATCAAAAACATCTCGTACGCAGAATTAACCATAATAAAGAAATGAAGGAAAACAACATAGCAAACCTAGCTACTAGCAAAAATGTGTTCCAGCTTAAACTGGAGGAGACACAGAAACTCCTAGAGAATCAACATTTAAGCGATTTGCAAGTATGAACTATAACTATTTTACTAGTGTTTTAATCTATAGTAATAATTCTGCCCTATTTCTCAGTGTTCGTCAAAAGGAGGCCAAAAAAACAAAACAAAAACTGCAGATAAGTCAGCACAACTTCATCACAGGTGCTAAAAGAAAACTTGGGGGTTTTTCCTGACCTTTTCCCATTTTTCTTTCTGCTTCTTCTTTTTCCATCTATTTAAAAAATATATATGCTGTGTGAATGTTATTTTCTTACAAGTATAGAGGTGTTTGAAGGTATAGTGTAATATAAGTATTCTTATTTGAGATTATATTATAAAAAATGACCTAAAAATTATAATGCATATGGATATTAGGTTATTAATAAAAAGAATAGCAAGTGTTCTTTACTACTGAGCCATCTCTCCAGCCCCTAAAACCGATAGTTTGTGAACCTAAATCCACATACTTCAATAAGAAAATGTAAAATGAGTTTAAGACCACTCCATGAATCTCATTCAACCTGCTGGTTCAATTCCCAAATGAGATCCATGAGTGGATTTTGTCTGTATTTTGTTTTGACACAGGATCTAATTTAGCCCAGACTGGCCTCAAACTCACTATTTAACCAAGGCTATCTTTGAACTTGTGATCTTCCCTAGTGTATTGATTTAAATGAAGATCTTCATCTCTTCCATAAAGCAAGAGTTGAAAACCTTACTCCAGTCCTTTATAAAAAGAATATATTTCCTACCAACAGAAAGTTCACATTAGCGTCATAAAAGTTCATTCTCTTTTCTTTCTTTTTTCTTTTTTTTTATTTCTTCTTTATTGTTTGAGACTTTAATAAGTACTCATAATCTTGTCTTTCTAATTCTTCCCCTGTTCCTGACAACCACCACTTTTCTTTCCCAACCTGGTGTGCTTTGTTGTTTAAACCCACTAACTGCACTTAGTGCAGCCTATGTGGGCATCTGTGTAAAATAACCAACTGGGCTCTGGGTAGCCTCTCCAGGATCACCACAGTCTCCGCATGAAAGGCGGGAGGATTCATGAAGACACATTCTAGCCAGAGAGCTACTGGTGTTCAATGGCTGCTGTGTCAAAGAACTTTTTAAGAGTCTCTTTAAGTCTAATGAAAGTTTCAGGAAGAATATATAATTTAGAAACAAGTATTTTTCAGAATTAATTTAGTATTTAGAAACTTCATACCCTAAGTGGAATAGCAGTTATTTCTAAGTAATTCTGGTGGCCAGAAGTTGAAATGAAAGAAAGTATTATGATTTTGTTATTTTTTTTTACTTTTTGCCATGAGGTGTGCTGATTACATTATACCTATATTGTTTACAGTCACACTATTTTCTATGTCAAGGAGAATTAAACTCAGTAATAATACTGTTAGTCTACAGCACAAAACAGTGTTGTTTTTTTTTTCTCCCTCAGAAATTTTGTGATGAAGTTAATCAGATAACCAATTCTGAAACTCTCTCAAGTATAGACAGTCTTGAGGCTGGCGAGCGTGAAGGAATCTACATCACCCTCAGTATGGAGCCTTCCATGCCAATCCCGCAGAACTCTGCGCCCCTCAAGTCAGCAAATCTACAGTCAGCTCATTTCAACTGCTCTGATGAAGATAAACTGTCATTCTCTAAAACTCAGCATATAAACAATTGGCTTACAAACTTAGATGCTCAGAATACTCAGCCTGTTGCATCTTTTTCAGATATTTTAATTAAATCTAATGTTCTGCCCTCATGGGAATGTTTGAATAGTAAAGAACAAAATCCACCTGCTTTGAGCAGAGCAGTTGGAAGAACCACAAGCACTACTAGTGACCCAGTGGTCTTTGTGTGCAGTCCGTCTGTAGTTGCACTAGATAGAAAAGGAGAAAGCACTGCTGAAAGTAATGCTGTGAGAACAGGTGCTCCCATTGATGGAGCGTTCCAAAGACAGCGGCCCCTGCGAACTGAGAGCCCAGCATTTAGAGTTGGTCGAGCCTGGACTACCCCAGAATCTCTAACCCAGGAAGCAGCTTCGTTTTCCATCCAAGAGACACCTTCCAAGTTAACTTGGGAAAGCAGAACTGCTTCAATTCCTGCTTCTTCTGTACTAGTTTTGTCACCTAATTCACAGTCAGGTGGGCCTTTAGCAGAGAACAACACACAAATAAAAGAAGTTGACCCCGTGCAGTGTTCTGATAAGTTAGATGAATTGGGAAATGTGAAACATGAAAAGATAAAACATCTCAACTGCAATAAAGAAAAGTCTTTATTTCCAGACAATTTTCAGACCACCTGTGCAGTTGAAAATTCTAATTCAGATGATAGAAAACAAAAAGAAAGTGGCCCATCAGCACCACTATGTAACAACCCTCCTGACTGTGACTTGCCAGACCAGCACAGCATGAAACACAGCGTCCATGAACAAAATGGGGTGCGGCTGCTTAAGAGTATATTAAAGAAAGAATCCAGATATGAACATAATTATTTGAGAACATTAGTTATGAATCAAGGTTTTAAGTTTAGACACCAAAAGGCAGAAACTATTAGAGATAGTATTGAATTAACAAAACAGAAAGCGAAAAGTACAGAAATATCAAAGACTAGTAAAAAACTGCGGTGGTTTGATGAAAGCACTAACATAGAAAATGGTGTAGATGATGGCCACCCAGTGAGGAACAGAGCAGGAATGGCTCCACAGTGGCTACAGCACTGTCACACTAACAGTGGCACCAGCAACCTGGCAAGTTTTCCTGAATGTCCTGTACATTCTGGTGGTGCAAAGAATGCCAAGGCTGATTCTGTCTCAGAAAATGTTACTGATTTAGGAGGATATGAAATGGACAGTGTGCCTTCGAACTCTTCTGTATCTTTAGGCCATAGCTTTGCCAAACAAGCCTGGTCGGCCTGCAAAAGAGAAGAAAGCAAAGCCCCTGTACAAGCTAGTGACTCTAAGACTCATAAGGCTAAGGCTCAGAGAGGAACAAAATTCACTAGAAGAACAGGGTCTTCAAAGGTCCAGAAAGGCCTTGTACAGAACAGAAAACCCACTGTCAGATACCCACAGTCTTCAAGCAAAGCCAATACACTGGCCCAAACTCAGGATAGACCAGTTATGCCTCATTCTTCACCTAAACCACTAACAAACATTAAAAGTGGTAAAAATATGCAAGTGTCTCCATGTCAGTCAGCCATACCTGAACATTCTCAGAATGTTGTGACACAGAGCTGTTTAAGTTCAGCATCTGTGCCTCCAACAGAGTACCATTTGAACCAGGGGACTCAAGAAAGTAGTCTCCCATTCTCAGACACTTGTTCTAACTTCCCTGCTGTGAGCCCAGCTCTACCAAGTCCTTACTCTTCTGAGTGCCAAACCTCAGCAAAAGCCATTTCAAATGGCACAGCTTTCCAGAAAGACGGAGCAGTATATTGTACCCAAAGAAATCCTGTTTTTGAAGAAAGCTACCAGTCTTTGACTCATAGGAATACTGAAGAAGAATCAGTTCTACCATGGAGAAGAAGAATCAATGGACGCCAAAATGAGAGGGCCACTGGTAAGTGTAAAATTTATACCTTCTTTTTTTGACGGGGGTGGGGGATGCAGAGGGCCGATGGTTTTAAGACAGGGTTTCTCTGTATAGTCCTGGGTGTCCTGGAACAGAAGAGGGTGTCAGATCCCCATGCAACTTGAGTTACAGATTCTTGTTAGCCACTAACCATAAGTGCCAGCAAACCCCAGTCCTCTGTAATAAAGACAAGGGCTCTAAACTAATGAGCCATCTCTCCAGCCCTAAGACTTTCATCAATTAGATGAATAAAAACTATATTAGTAGATAGAAAATCAAATGTAAAGAATGTAACCTAAATCTCTTCAGTACTTCTCTACAAAAATCTAGGTTTTAAATTTCTTTGACTGAAACTGTCTCATGATTTAACATTAATTTTGCAATATCTCTAAAAAACTGAATGTATCAAATTAGATAATATAAAATAAATAATGATGGATTTCTTTTTCATTTTCTAAGTCTCTAATCATCAGTGATATTTTAATTCAAATCTCAGTGGCTCTAAATCCTGTATTTCCTTTTTTAACTAAAACCCTATGATAAACAGTTGTTAAGAAAATATGATAAACCAGACTCTATAGTAATCGAGAAAAATAAGAGTTGTTCAAATGGCTTATACATTAAAGGGTGTTATTTTTGTACTATGGGAATTTATTCATTTGCTTCTATTCTGCTGAGATCATTTCTGTCCTCACTACATGGGCCTAAATGTATAGTGGAAACTTCGTTCTTTTAAGATGAGAGAGAGAGAGAGAGAGAACAAGAGAGAGAACAGGAGAGAGAATGAGAGAGAGAGAGAAGAGAGAGAGAATATGAATTTGAAGTGGAGTAGGAAAGAATTGGGAGGGCTGCCATGGCTTCTGTTTTGTCAGTTGAGTGTTAGGAGACTGATTATGGAAGCAAGACTGAAAGCTGTGAACAATGAAGAGAGTCTAAGAAAAACACTGAAAAAGATTAGTAAAATGATTGTGACGTTAGAAGGCCAAGAAGAGCAATATACACTGAAACACATTACATGGGGTCATATTCTAAAGCACAGACTAATTCCTTACAGTGAAATAATTGTGTCTATCCTCATCTGAACATGAACAAAAATTTATAATGAATAAGCCTACTTAGAAGGGCCTCAGGTAAAGGTAAAAGTAACCTCAGGGGCAAAGGATGTCGGCCAAGAGGAACTTAGTGGGAGAGACAGTGGCAGAGTGAGCAGTGTTGCTACTGATGAGTACAACATGCTTTACTAGACAGACAGGTCAGGATCCCATACTAAATACAAAGCTGGGTGGAAATGGCGATTGAAACAAAATTAGAATAATAATCAAAATGTTTTAGGATTTCAAAGGGTCAGACCTAGAAATTTTAATAAAGGTATCTCTTAAATAACATTTAAAATATAAGCCTATGAGAATAATTGACTGTAAAGATTTTAATGACTCCTATAGAGAAGACTAAAAATACCATAAAGAGAAGTGAAAGAAGATCTGAGTGGAGAAGAAAATGCATACATGTTGAGGCCATGTAGTTCCAACAGGCTCTGTGAAAATTGCCAGACTCTAATATTTACATTATTAAATGCACATACCAAGAATAGCTGAGACAATCTCAAGAACAAAGTTTAAAACTTTCATTACTAGATATTGTATCTAAAGTTACAATAATTAGCAGTGTGGCATCTGCAGAATGATATTTATATCGCTTAGAATAAATACAGGCTCACGTAATTAATTTCTTGACTTTTAACAAAGTTGGCAATACATTTCAGGGAAAAGGGGTTCATTTTATTATTCAGTTGGGTTACTATATACAGTCAGTAAAAGTGACCCTTCATTTACTCATATAAAAAAATAAATTCCATGTAAATTATGGATTTAAACTTGAAAAATAAAAAAGCTTTGGACATAATATTTTAGAATAATATGAGCTTTATTTTACTCTATGTAAAAACTATAAACTATTAAGAATGATACTTGTACATTAAAATTGGAGGGGTTTTTTTCATACAAAAAAAATCAACAGGTTGAAATGACACACCACCAGATGGGAAAAGATATTTGTAATGCACTGATCTAGTCAAGACTCATAGGCAAAATGTATAAAAGACTACAATAAATATAAAACTGTAGACCAGTTGTATCAGCCAGGTCTAAGCCAGAGAAGCTGTACCAAGGAAAGAAGTATAAAGAGGTCTGTTGCAAAGCATTGGTTTAAGTTAACATGGTGCTCAGCTAGGAAAATCTAACATTTTGTAGGACAAGTTATAAGAGCAGACTGACTGCACAACAGCTAGCACTAGTATCCACAGTGGTTGAATCAAAGCCCATCATCATTATCTAGATTGTCTACCTCAAAGAAACTCCGTGTACAAAATACTGTCACAGCAGTATTGATAGTGGTCTTTAATTGAACAACTGCAGACTACAGATAGCTCATCAAAAAGATCATCACTGGACTAGGAAGATAACACACCCAGTAAGGAGCTTGATTTGCAAACCTGAGGACCTTTGTTCATGTTCTAGAACCATGTTAATAGAAAATTAAGGTTGGGGGCTGGAGAGATGGCTCAGCAGTTAAGAGCATTGACTGCTCTTCCAGAGGTCCTGAGTTCAAACCCCAGCAACCACATGGTGGCTCACAACCATCCGTAATGAGATTGGATGCCCTCTTCTGGCGTGTCTGAAGACAGCTACAGTGTACTCATAAATAAAATAAATAAATAAATCTTAAAAAAAAAAGAAAAAAAAAAAAGAAAATTAAGGTTGGAGAGATGACTTGTCAGTTAAAAGCACTAGTTGTTCTTATAAAGGACCTGGGCTCAATTCCCAGCACCCACATGGTGGTTCACAAACCTGGAACCCAAGTTCTTGAGGATTCAGTGTCCTTTTCTGACCTCCATGGGCAGCAAGTACACAGGTGATACTTACATGTAGGCAAAACACCAGAAAATAAAATTAATAAATCTAATTTTTTTTAAAAAAGTTGTAACAAGTATGATGTCATATGCTTTTAATCCTTATCTTAGTTAGGATTTTAGTGCTATGAATAGACACCATGACCAAGGCAACTCTTATACGGACATTTAATTGGGGCTGGCTTATAGGTTCAGAGGTTCAGTTCAGTATCATCAAGGTAGGAACATGGCATCATCCGGGCAGGCATGGTACAGGAGGAGCTGGGAGTTCTACATCTTCATCTGAAGGCTGCTAGCAGAATACTGACTTCCAGGCAGCTAAGGTGAGGGTCTTAAGCCCACTCCCACAGTGACAGACCTATTCCAATGAGTCCACACCACCTAGTAGTGCCACTCCCTAGGCCAACCATACACAAACCATCACAATCCTTATGAAGTTATCCTTTGACTTACACACACATACAAAGCCACAAAGCAAAATACTAGAATAAGCTTTTCATAAATAAAAGCCATCAAATGGACAATAAACATACACTTTAATGGACTTTAAGATACAGCTGCATACATCTGAGTAGCTAAAATTAGGCACATTACCAATGGTTGGTAAAGTTTTACATGAACTAAAAATTCTTATATCTACAAAATTTGGGCATATGTATATCCTATGATCCAACAATTCTAGACCAACAAGTTCTATATGTGTATATATCAGTTATATCACAATATATTTTAGGTAACTGTAAATATCATTTTATTTTGAACTATTACATGGTTGTGCTCTCATATTATTAATCATGTTTCAATGCACAGTTTTCAACTGTCTTACCAATTATGCTAGTAAAATATCACCTCATACCTCATAGCAAAGTATACTTTAAGGTAGATTCACTCTTCTACTTTTTTATAATTTCTAAGTTTGTGACATGAAATCTGAAGTAGACACATTGGCATTGCACTGTCAAATTATTTGCATCAACTGTTAAATTATTTGCATCATCTATGGGGATTAACATCGTAAGAATGAGGTCTTGGTTAAATAGTCCCATAAAAAGCACAGGAAAATGATGTGAGAAGCATCCATATACCCACACCTCACCCTAAATACAATGTGAGGCTCACCCGTGTACCCACACCTCACCCTAAATACAATGTGAGGCGCACCCGTGTACCCACACCTCACCCTAAATACAATGTGAGGAGCACCGTGTACCCACACCTCACCCTAAATACAATGTGAGGCGCACCCGTGTACCCACACCTCACCAAATGCTAAGACATCACGAATGAGAACCTGTTCAGGTACTACTTGAGATGCACAGATGCACATGTCCACTTCCCTGGGCACACTAATGCACTGCTCAAATAGGAAGAGCACAGAAGAAGGTCAGTGCTGTTGACAACCTCTTGCCCTGGGGACTTCTTTCAAGATAATTAAACTTAAAATACACTATACCTCTGCCTTGCTAACAAATAATGGTGCCATGAAGAAAGTTTTATTTCTGATTTTTTGAAAATGTAAATTGGAATTCTACAATGCTCTTCCTACATACCAATAACATGTCTTGTGTATCTTCATGGAATTCCTCATATTTTGCTCCGTAGCAGAAACTGTGTTGAATGCATCCTTGTAAATGTCTCGTGTATAGAACTTAGAGAAGCTTAATAAAATCTGCTGGCCACATAGAAGAGGTATAGATATAGATACACACATAACTTTCTACATTGTTTGATAGTAATTTGAAATTTTGAGTGAATACATATTACCTAACTCAATTTTCATAATTTCTTATATTAACATTTGTTTAAGATTCTTCTGTTACAAGAAGAAAGCAAGTTGTTGAAAATAAATGGAAAAAACTGTTAGAACAGAAAAGGAAAACCTCTGGATCTACAGGAATGAAGTACACTGAGCAAATAACTGTAAGTATGGTCTTAGCAAAATTCTCTTTTAGAAGTAGAAAACGACTTAAAAGAGATGCTCATAGTGCAAACTGTAACTCAGCATAAATGTGGATATGGCCAAAGCCATTCGTGATACATTCTTGGAATCTTAATACTCGCAGCTTATTGTACTCATTTGCTATATTTGAATGAGTCCATATGACCAACTACCAATGAAGGCTTTTAGCAATCTTAAGTAGTTATTGCTGGAGCTAGAGAGATGTTAAGAGTGCTGACTGGTCTTCCAGAGGACCCAGATTCGATTCCCAGCACCCACTTGGTGGCTTACAACCATCTCCAACTCCAGTCTCAGAAGATCCAAAGCCCTCTTCTGGCCAATAGGGGCACCAGGCACACAAGTGATACACAGATCTACATTTCGGCAAAATACCCATATATATAATGCAGGTTTTTATCTAAATAAGAAAAAGTATTGTTTAATTTATTATGTATAACTAATTCTATGGAAAGGCCATTTGAAACAAAATTCCCTAAAGTTATTTAAGTATGCATTAAATGAACAGGATGGTAATATTGCATGTAATATAATATTTTTTAAAAAGACATTTTTTCATCTAGGTACCTTTTATAAGAGACTTTGAATTACATATGGTTTTGTCTCTAAGAACAATTCAACAAAACCTAATATGGCTTTTGGCACAAAGATCTTGAGTAAAAGCCAAAAGCATAATAAAATTTTGAATATAATGTGAAAGTATATTAGGGCTGAATAAGTATAGTCTAATATGATAATTTAATGGTTTGTTAGGGATTGATTTTAGAATATTGAGACCAATAAGTAAAAAGCATTTTACTTGGAGCTTCTACTCTATCACTTCTTTTGGGGGGAGGGGAGGTTGGTTTGCTCTGTGTGGCCTTGGCTGTCCTAGAACTCACTCTGTAGACCAGGATATCCTCAAACTCAGAGATTCCCTCTGCCTCCCTAGTGCTGAAATTTAAAAAGGTGTGCACTACTGCCAGTATTCTTGTAGTATTTTATAGAACTGAAATAAGTGCCCTGTGAAGAATGGACATTTTGAGGCAGATGTTGCTGATCTTGCCATTCATATAGTGAGTATTTTACACACTTCTTCCCAGTGCTGGAGATCAAGCTCAGAGCTTCTTACATGCAAGGCAAACATGGAGCTACACCCACAACCTAAGAGGTGTTAATTTTCATACGCATAAGAAGATTAATATACATAATACTATGATCTAACCTTATCAGCAAAGCAACCCATTTAGTTTATGTTTGTATAAATTATGGTCTCATTATCAATATATTCGTATACATTAGTAATAAATATGAATATACCTTCCAGATTACAAATGTAGTAACAACTAATAAATCTTTTCTCTTTGAACTTCCATATTATTCCCACTAATTATATCAGAATATGTAAAGGGAATACATTATCCTTTCTTAAAATTTGTATTAAGCTATATCAGATTTGCTGGGTGTATCACACACCTATAATCTTAGTACAGGGGAGGCAGAGGGAGATGGGTCTCTGTGAGTTCCAGTCCAGCTAGAGTTACATAGTGAGATGCTGTCTCAAAAAGAAAAAAAGACTCTCAAATTTAAAAATAATAAATAGTTGTTAAAAAATCACAAAGCAATGAACAAATTTTAAATGCCTGAAGTTAGTACCCTCTGGATTAGTGTTGTGGGTGCTATATTATATTCATTCTTGCTTTTACATCCTACCTTACTGTCTTGCAAGTTTCTGTTTCTCCTCTGTCCCACAGAGCTTCCCTTCCCCTTTCACATGCCTGTCACTATGCCTTGCCTTAAACACCTCACATGGTCTAGCTACCCTTCCATTACATGAGTGTTCTGGATCGAAATCGGTTTAAAATTGAAAATTGTTATTATCATTATTTTGTTTGGTTTTGTTCTTTATTCTTGAGGCTGGTGAAATATTCAGTTGCTATAGCAGTGGTCCTTGTCATCATGTTTTAGGAAATGTGTTTTAGCATCTCATCTTTTGCCTCTGTGTGCAAACAATGTAAAAAAGATAAAATTGAAATATCACACTTGCCATTTACAGCAGGTTTTTCAATCCTAGTTGTATCTAGCATAAAATGGAGCTCAGACAGGGAGCCTGTGGCAGCCATCTGTGTCACATAGTCTTCAGACAGACAGACAAAGCTAAGTAAGTCACAAGTCACAGGCAGACTCTTTTTTTCAGGTCGTGTAGAATGTCACACTTTCTGATGGTGCGCTCATATTCTCTGCAGCATAGAAGCAACTGCTTCTGCTTCCAGGCTGTAGAGACTCTCCTGTTGTCAGCATCAGCCACACTCAGGTTTGCATGGGGGGATTGTCACTTACAACTCTGGCTCAGCTGTACAGTATCGTGTGATTCTTAGCAGTTCTTTATTTTCAGATGCTTGATTGCTACCCAGTGCTATTTACTCTTCTTGTTATCCAAGAGAACACTACAAGCTGAAATTTTATATTGACATAATACATTTGAAAATATTTATTTTACATGAAAAGGCTTTAACCCAGTAGGTCTTGATTTCTCCTCCAAAACAAAAGAGACTGGCAACTTATATGAACAGTGATAACTAAAAATACCAACAATTAAAAGTTTTCTAAAGACCATAAACATATAATGAATTTTAAATGTGGAATTATATTTTTATTTAAACTATTTTTATAGCATTTTGGGCAAAATGTCCCACCAAGTACAAGTGAACCAATACAAGCTACAAGAGGTGTCAAGACTGAAGAAGGTATGTTTTGCTGTATGCTTTTTCTTTTCTTTCTTTTTTTCATTTTATTATAAATAGATTTTTGTCTCACATAATATTTCTTGGTTATAGTCCCCTCCCTCTACTTTTCCCAGTTCCTCCCCACTTACTCTCCCATCTGGACCTACACCCTTTCTGTGTCACATTAGGAAACAAACAGGTTTCAAAGGGATAATAATAAAATAAAATGTAGCAAAATACAAAATAATAAGATAAAACAAGCCGGGCGGTGGTGGCGCACGCCTTTAATCCCAGCACTTGGGAGGCAGAGGCAGGTGGATTTCTGAGTTCGAGGCCAGCCTGGTCTACAGAGTGAGTTCCAGGACAGCCAGGGCTACACAGAGAGACCCTGTCTCAAAAAACAAAAAAAAAAAAAAAAAGATAAAACAAAAACTAACACATTGGAATAGGACAAAACAAACAGAAAGAAAAGCCCAAGAAAAGGTAAAAGGAACAAAGACCCTCTCATGTGCAAACTCAAGAATCAAAAAAAAAAAACACTAGAAGCCAAAATATATACTCAAAAGATCTATAGGTTAAAAAGAAAGTAATAAGATAGATTTTTTGAAAAAAGGAAAAGCCTGCCAGAAGGTGGTGACATACACCATTAAACCCAGCACTTGGGAGGCAGAGGCAGACAGATCACTGAGTTCAGGCTAGCCTGGTCTACAGAGTGAGCTCCAGTACAGCTACACTAAGAAAACCTGGCTTGGAAAAACAAATAGACCATAGGCAGGCAGGCAGGCAGGCAGACAGACAGACAGACAGACAGACAGACAGACATGCCCACACAGGAAGGAAAAGCCCTGCAACAACATTATAAGACAAGGACTCTCCTAAGATCCCATTGAGTTTGTTTTCTTTTAGCCATCTACACCTGGCCATTCAGAATACTCTTAAAAGAGTAGTTTGTTTCCCCAGAGACTCCCTTGAAAGAAACTAAATTTTCATTTGCAAACACGTATCAATTGGAGGTAGCTTTTGGGCGGAGGATGAGAGTGTATAATTTCACTGCTTGCACTCTAGGATCCCATCTGGTGCAAACCCTGTGCTTGCTGCCTCTGAGTCTCTGAGTTCATATGTCTATCAAGCTTGTTGATTTACAGCTCCTTGTTTTCTTGCTGTCCTCCACTCCTTCTGGCTCTTTCACTCTTTCTGCTTCCTCTTTGAGGAGTTTCCTGATCCTTGAAGGGAGGGATTTGATTGAGACCTCTCATTTAGAGCTGAGTGTTCCAAGGTCTCACTCTGGATGTTGTCTGGGTGTGTGTCTCTATTCGTTCCGTCTGCTGAAGGTGGAAACTTCTCTGATGATAGCTGAGAAAGCCCTGATCTATGACTATTCAGAATATTATTAGGAATCATTTTATTGCTTTATTTTAATTTGTTTGTTTTTGTTTTGTTTTAGAACAGTAGTATTGGGTTTTCTCAAAGGTCCCTGGGTAATCTAATCTCAGGTTTTTGATCACCAAAGCAGTGTGGACTGGACCTTAAGTCAAATCAGATATTGCTTGGTTACTCAACAAGCTTTGAGCCACCATTGCACTAGCATATCTTACAGACAGGACACCATTGTTATTCATAGGATTGGGCTTGTATTTACATTTCTCCTCTGATAGTGTGCTAAGACATGCTAGCTGGACTTCTCCACATTCAAGGAGTTCTGTAGATGTTATCTTTGGCAGTGAGGCTTGCTGTCAGTATGTAGACAACAACCAGTAGTCTTGCCAACAGCGTGGGTTGTTTAGGGGTTCCCATGGGACCACCTTGGACAGCATCTCGATTAAATAAAATCCAACACCAGTACTGGAAGCATCATTTGGTGACAAGATGCCCAGTTGGGACTCAGTCTTCCCCACTATTTGGTAATTTCATTTCTATCACCTTCATTCCCATATATATATGGAGGCTTCTACTGTATTAGGTTTCCTTCCAACCTCTCAATTCTTGCCATCTCTCTAAGTGTTCCTTCTCTCCCTCTTCTTTCCTGCTCTCTACTTGATCCTCCCCATTCCAGTCCTCCCCTCCCCGCCCCCATCCATCCATAGCTATCTATTCTAGTCCCCTTTTCTAGGAAGATCTATCTTCCCCTCTCCCAGTCACTTACTCTATACCTAACACCTGTGGCTATATCTTGCTTATCATTGACTTAACATCTGGTAGCCACATATAAGTGAATACATGCCTTATTTTTGTTTCTGAGGAGGGGTTATCTCATTCAAGATGATTTTTTTTCTAGATCCTTCATCTACCTGTGAGTTTCATTATTTTATTTTTTGATGACTGTAAATATACCACTTTTATTTATCCATTTATTTTTTAATTTAATTATTTTTATTTATATTCCAAATGTTGCCCCTCTCCCAGTCCCCCCTCCCAGAGTTCTTCACCCCATTTTCCCTCCCCTTTCCCTCTGAGAAAGCGTACACCTACCCCATTCCTAGGCATCCCCCTTCCCTGGGGCATCAAGTCTCTATAGGATTAGGCTCATTCTCTCTCACTGAGGCCAGACAAGGCTGTCCTCTGGTACATATGTGCCGGAGGCCATGGACTAGCCCATGCATGCTCTTTGGTTGGTGACTTAGTCTCTGCGAGCTCTCAGGGGTCCAGGTTAGTTGATATTGTTCTTCCTAGTGAGTTACTATTCCCTTTAGCTCCTTCAGTCCTTCCCCTGACTCTTCTATAGCGGTCCCTTACCTCAATCCAATGGTTGTCTGTAAATATCTGCATCTGTCTCAGTCAGCTGCTGGTGGTGCTTCTCAGAGAACAGCCATGCTAGGCTTCTGTCTGCAAGCACAACATGGCATCAGTAATAGTGTCAGGGTTTGGTGCCCAACAGTAGGGAGATGAAACCTGAAGAGACCACCTCCAGTAGATAGACATGGTCCCCAGTGGAGGGATGGGGTCACCAACCCACCTTCCAAATTTTTGACACAGAATTTTTCCTGTCTAAAAAAAAATATATAGGGACAAAAATAGAGCAGAGACTGAAGGAAAGGCCATCCAGTGACTGGCCTAACTTGAGATCTATCCCATGGGCAGGCATCAAACCCTGACACTATTATCCATTTATTTTTATTTTATTTTATTTTATTTTATTTTATTTTATTTTATTTTATTTTATTTTATTTTATTTATTTATGATTCAAAATTTATTTTATAAGTTATCCATTCATCTGTTTGGGGGACTTCTAGGTTATTTCCAGTTTCTGGTTCTTCTGAATAGAGCAGCAATGAATATAGTTGAGCAAGTGTCTCTGTAGTCGGATGAAGGATCCTTTAGGTTTATGCCCAAGAATAGTGTAGCCGGATGTTAAGGTAGAAAGATTGCCAGCTTCCTGAGGAACTACCACACTGATTTCCACAGTGGCTATACAAGTTTACACTCTAACCAGCAATGTATGAATGTTTCCCTTACTTCATTATCATTACCAGCATTATTGATCCTAACTATTCTGACAGGTTTAAGATGAAACCTCAAAATAGTTTTGATTTGCATTTCTCTAATGACTAAGTATATTGAACATTTTTTTGTTCCTAAGCAATTTGAGTTTCCTCTTTTGAAAGTTCTCTGTTTAGATCTGTACCCCATTCCTCCCCCCACCCCCACTGGGTTATTTGATTTCTTGATATCTAACTTTTTGAGTTCTTTATATATTTTGGATATTAGCCCTCTGTCAGATGTGGATTTAGAAAAAAAAAAAAAAACTTTTCATTCTGTAAGCTGCCACTTTGTCCAAATGATGGTATCCTTTGTTGTTCAGAAGCTTCTCATGAAATCCCATTTGTTAATTGTTGATCTTAGTGCCTGTGCTAACAACAGTATGCTAAAAAAAAGTCTTTTCTGAGTTCTGGGCTGCTCTTTACTTTCTCTTCTCTCAGGTTCAGTGTATCTGGTTTTATGTTGAGGTCCTTGATCCATTTGGAGTTGAGTTTTGTGCAGGGTGATAAGGATGAATCTATTTGCATTCTTCTACATGCAGACATCCAGTTTGACCTGCACCATTTGGTGAAGATGCTGTCTTTTTTCCAGTGTATATTTCTTGCTTCTTTATCAAAAATCAGTTATACATGGATATGTAGATTTGTGTCTGGTTCTTCAATTTGATTCCATTGATCAATATATCTATTGTTGTGCCAATACCATGTAGCTTTTATTACTATAGTTCTGCAGTCCAACTTGAAATCTGGAATAGTGATACCTCCAGCAATTCTTTTAATGTTCACAATTGTCTTAGCTATCCTGGGTTGTTGTTGTTGTTTTGCTTCTATATGAAGAAGAAAATTTTTCAAGATCTGTGAAGAATTGTGTTGGAATTTTTATGGAAATTGCGTCAAATTTTTGACAGGATGGCTATTTTAATCTTACTGATCCATAAGCATGGAAGATCTTTCCATCTTCTGATACCTTCTTCAATTTTTTTCTTCAATGTCATAAAGTTTTTATCACACAACTCTCACTTGGCTAGAGTTACCGCAAGATATTTTATGTTATGTTGGCTGTGGGCTTGCTCTAAACTGTCTTTATGATGCTGAGGTTTGTCGCATGTATCCTGAATCTCTCCAGGACTTTTATCCTGAAGGGTCAGATATGTCTGAAGCCTTTTCCATACCTAATGAGATGATCATGCGATTTCTATCTTTCAGTCCGTTTATACAATAGATTACATTAACTGATTTCCATATGTTGAACAATTCCTGCATCTCTGGGGTAATACCTACCTGACTATAGTGAATCAATCCTTTTGATATGATCTTGGATTCTGTTTCCATGTATTTTAATTGAGAATTTTTTATCTATGTTCATAAGGGAAATTAGTCTGTAATTTTCTGTGTTGGGTTTTTATTTTGGATATCAGAGTTATTGTGGCCTTGTAAAACAAATTGTGCAATGTTCTTTTGTTTCTATTTTGTAGAATAATTTGAGAACTATTGACATTAACTCTCCTTTGAAAGTCTGACAGAATGCTGCACTAAAACCATGGCCCTTGGCTTTTTTTTTTTTTTTCTAATTACTGACTCTTATTTTACTAGGTGATATAGGATAGTTTAAATTGCTTATCTGATCCTGATTCAACATTGCTAAGTGGTATGTACTAAGACAAATTATCCATTTCTTTTAGATTTTCCAATTTGGTATAGTACAGGTCTTTAAAGTATGTTCTTTGGATTCTCTGGATTTCTCCAGTGTCTGTTGTTAAGCCCCCTTTTCACTTCTAGTTTTGTTAATTTGTATATTCTCTCTCCGCCTTTTAGTTAATTGGATAAGGGTATGTCAATCTTACTGATCAAAGAACCAACTCATTTTATTGATACTTTGCATTGTTTTGTTTTTCTATTTTTATTGATTTCAGCCATGAGTTGGACTATTTCTTGCAATCTACCCCCTTTGGTTATGATGTCTTCTTTTTGTACAGAGCTTTCAGCTGTGCTAGTAAGTTACTAGTATGAGATTTCTATAAATTTTTATGTAGGCACTTAGTGCTGTGTACTTGCCTCTTAGAACCACTACATGTACCATAAGTTTGACTAAGAAACATAGTTTGTTTCTTAGGCCCGTTTACTTGTAATATCTTTTCCAACCCTTTATCCTGCATTCTCGTTTATCTTTCATGTTAAGGTGTATTTCTTGAATGCTGTGGAAAGATGGATCCTGTTTTTGGAGCCATTTTGTTAGTCTGTGTCTTTTTTATTGGAGAATTGAGACCGTTGATATTGAGAGATAGCAGTGAACATTGTTGATTCCTGTTATTTTGGAAGTGATTGTGGCAGTGATGGGCAATGGTGGCATCTAGAACTTAAAATATAGACCAAGAAGGCCTCAAACTCATAGAGACCTGCCTACCTCTGCCTCCCAAATGCTGGAATTAAAAGTGTGTGCCAATATGCTTGACTTAGATATTTTCGTAACTTGAGGTGGAAAATACCAAATATAGAGAATCCTGAAAATTAAAATGCACACTGAACCAGAGAGATAGCTCAGTGATTAGAAACTCTGGCTGCCCTTTCAGAGGACCCAGGTTCAATTCCATCACCTATATGGAGACTCACTATCAGATGTAACTCCAGCCCCAAAGAATCAACCACCCTCTCTGGCCTCGTCAAGAACTGCATGAATGTGGTATACAGATATACATTCAGGCAAAACGCTCATACACATAGAAAAATAAATATTATCCCAACAGTATAGCTGCCTAAGACTTGGACAGGGGCACCACCAACAAACAGGTTAACATGGAAGACTGAAAGTCTCTCAGGACCCCAGCCCTAACCAAAGAACAGCCAACTAAGAAATGCTGAGAGGGAAAAAGTGGTCTTCCTCAAGATGAGCCCATACTTGACTTTCCAATACCAAGTGGTCAGCCCTGAAAAGCAACACTAAGTGTATTCACATGATTATATTAATGTGTGTGTGTGTGTGTGTGTGTGTGTGTGTGTGTGTGTGTGTGTGTGTGACAGAGAGACAGAGATACTAACAAAAACAGGCCATGAATGGGGGCAGGGATTGGCAGGGATTGGAGGAAAGAAAGGGAAGGAGGAAAATGATACAATATAATTTAATTTAAAAATAAAATAAGTTTTAATCCTAGAAAAAAAGTAATAAATAGTTAAATAACAGTAACAGAGTATTTGCTGACTTCTGTATTTGGCATGATACATATAGATGTAATTCCAGTAAGTCAATATTAGGGCTGGTCCCACAGATAAAAAAGAGTCAAAGAGTAACCATTCGTTTCTGTAGTTTCAGATAGTACTTCTGAGTTTTTGGTGGCAGAAAGCCTCATGAATTCTTCAGTGCCTGAAGATAAAATTCTGACTGCCATAAACAGCAAGCAGCTACAGAAACCAAATCTGTCCCAACCGTCCAATATCTGTGCCCTATCTGCTGAAGAACAGAAGATCCTGCAGTCTCTCCATCACCTCGATGAAAGGCTATACTGTAAGTGTGGAAGGGCAGCTCCTATAAGAAAATGGTACTTTATTCTTAAGCTTATGTCTATTTATTCTTATATTTCTATTTATAAGATTTTATTATTAAGGCTTTAAAACTCTGAAGTAAATATAAATGTATCTAGATTACCACCTTAATAAATCATCTAAAAGTAAGAGTATTGCTAATATTTCAGATTATTGCAGATACACTGTATCATTTATAAGGATACCAATTTTTGTACTTTACTGACTGAGAAGTATATGACATGGTGGCAGAAGCCTTTTGATAGTCCATGTGGCTCTATCCTTACTTTCCTAGTTGAGAAATATTTCTCCTTTTTTCTTTTTCCTAGAGACAGGATCTAATCATGTCAACTAGCTGATCTAGAACTGGCTTGGTTACCCAGGCCGGCCTTCAGATTTTCGCCACTTACAAGCTGATATTATAGGCAGTGCTTCATGCCCATATACACTTAGCTTTACTTCTTAGCTTTAAGAATACTGTGTGTGGCCGGGCAGTGGTGGCGCACACCTTTAATCCCAGCACTTGGGAGGCAGAGGCAGGTGGCTTTCTGAATTCAAGGGTCCAGCTTACTTGACTCTGTTGGTCTTTCTGTGGAATCCTTAGCCCCTAAGAGACCCACAGTCCTTCCCTCAACTCTTCCATAAGACTCCCCAAGCTCCATCCACTGTTTGGGTATCTACATCTGTCTGAGTCAGTTGGTGATTTGGAGGTGTCCTCTCATAGGACAGCCATACTGTCTGCAAGCATAACAGAGTATCATTAATAGTGTCAGGGATTGGCGCTTGCCTATGGAATGGGTCTCAAGTTGGGCCAGTTATTGGTTGGCCATTCCCTCCATCTCTGCTCCATCCCCAATCCCTGCATTTCTTGTAGACAGGATAAATTTGGGGTCGAAAGTTTTATGGGTGGGCTGATATCCTGTTGCTCCACCAGGTTCCTTTCTGGCCACAGGAGGCAGCCTCCCCAGGCTCCATATCCCTAATGCTGTGAGTCACAGCTAAAGATATCCCCATTGATTCTTGGGTACCTCCCCTATCTCAAGCTTCCATCTCTTTCTGGAGATGTCCCCCATCTCCTCCCCCCCTACCCCCTTTCAGTTGCAGATTTTTGTTCATTTTCATGGCCATCCAGCCGTCCTCTCCCCACTGCCCTCCCTCCCAACACTCCACACTGAACTCCTCCCCATCTCCCCTCCCGACCCCTTCTCCCACCCAGTTCCCTCCCTCCATCTGCCTTCCATGACTGTTCCATTTCTTCTTCCAAGTGAGACTCAAGTATCTTTGCTTGTACCCTTCTTCTTGCCCAGCCTCCTTGGGTCGGGGGAGTGTAGCATGGTCACCCTGGATTTTATGGCTAATATCCACTATTAAGTGAATATATATCGTGCATGTCCTTTTGGATCTGGGCTACCTCACTCAGGATGATATTCTCAAGATCCATCGATTTGCCTGTAACATTTATGATATCTTTGTTTTATATAGCAGAATTATCAGATGCAAAGAAAACTATAAAACAACTACTTTATATATTTTTAAATAAAGTTATGTTTCAAAATCTAGTAAGGAAATATGCAATATAAAATGTCTTAGACTCTTTGGAAAATAATGATTCCTATGAATGGAAGATATGAATAAATTTAAAATTCAGCTGATTGTTTAGAAACAACAGATTATAGACATTGGAAGAGGAATACTATTACCTAGAATAGAAATCAGAAAAACCTATTCAGAGTGCAGTACAAAGAGGTGACAATAGTGCAGTGAAGCTTAAATGACAAAGATGCACAACCTGAGTCTCATAAGGTGATCATGTATGCCACATTGACAGGCTAGTGAGTACTGCCAACACAGAGAGGGATGAGCCCAGCACATCTCAAAAGAAATAAAAAGAAATGCTCTTAGTGTGAGAAAGGTCCTAAGTTCAAGTCCCAGCACAGGAAAAGGGGTTGGGCCTCATTGCATAAAACTGGCTGACTGACCTGGAACTCACTGTGTAGGAGAGGCTAGCCTCAAACTTACAGACAGTCACCTGCCCCTCCCTTCTCACTATTAGCATTAAGAGCATAAGCCACCACAACCACAAAAATAAAAAAAAGGAATGTTTTCATTTTTTAAAAAAAAAAAAAGAAAACAAAAGGAAAGTATAACATATTTTCAAGATACAACAGATTCCCTCTTACCAGCTTCAGTTTTATAAAATTGTTCCTAATCAAATTGCCCTTAATTTTGAACCTAATATACATATTGTAGGGTTATGAGACCTGCTCTGCTCTGCCACAGGGTTTGGCCACTCGGGGAAGCAGACTAGGGGAAATTGACCACGCTTACCCCATGCTGTCACATGGCTGGTGTTGGACTGTAGGACGACTCTCTAGGGGTGGGGAAGCACAGTCTGAGATGCAGGGCTGTCTGAGCTGGCTCAGGAGTCCCTGGGCCTTTGATGAAGCTGGGCTATCTAGTTCTCAGGCTCCTAAACATCCAGGCGCCACTGGATGCCACAGCAGAGCTTGGGGGTGGGGGGGTGTGCTCTAGCTAGTCCTGTTGGGGAGAGTCCTTGGATTAATGGCAGTGGCTTGGGCTTGGGCTTGGGCTTGGGCTTGGTGTCAGCTGTGGCTGGGAGCACACCGAAGCCTTCTACTGGTGATTAGACAGTAGCTCTGTAGGTAAAGGCCTTCTCCATGGCTCCCCATAGCCAATCCCGATGAAAAGATGCAGTCTATTTTTTAAGATATTTATTGTCATGGCGGAAAGTGGATGAGTAAAACCATACCCCGCTTTTCAGGGTGGGCCTGAGATTAAATGCCTTTTGCAGGGAGTGGTGTTTGGGAAGGAAAGCGTATTGGCTAAGCCATCCAGGCGTTTAGGTACCTCATTTAGGTATCTCATTAAAATGGAGATCTGTCTTGAGCCTATGTGACCATAGGTCACTTCCTCTATATGTGAATGGGTTTGGGGCATTGCCCTTATGTGACTGATGGCCACAAATCAATGGGGGGCTGTGGCTTTTGACAGGGGCTTGGTGACTGGGAACAGGCAAAGCGCCTACAGTCCCTTCAGGGATTCCAGGGCTTCAAGCCTTAGCTCAACTGGGGACCAAGCTACCTTTCACAGTCCCACAACATATAAAGACTATTTCTGGGTTCAATAGGAAAAGAGTCCTATAATCAATTTTTCAGTATTTTGACACATCAGAAATTCATTACTAATTCTTCAGTGATTTTTCCGTACATAAGTAATTACTTTTGTGTCATGGTATGATTTTTCAGATGTACAAGAAGCAATTCGCAAAAACCCTTCCATCAAAAATACTTTACAATTAATACCACTTCTGGTAAGTATTTCCTAAGATCTTTCTTTGGTTGGACATTAATAGAAACAAGAGCCTTCGGAGGCAGGCGGGAGACAGCCCAGCAGTCAGGGACACTTCTTTTTGCAAAGGACCGAAGTTTAACTCCTAGCACCTACATGGTGGTTCACAATCATCAGTAATTCTAGTTCCTGGGGGAACTAGTGCCCTCTTCTGACCTTACAGGAACATGAATGCACATACATATGTGCAGGCAAAACACTCAGTCACATAGAATACAATAAATAAAACTTTTTCACATGTAAGAACGATTGGAGGTTCTTTTGAGTGTTGAATAAAATTGAATGCCCTCGGTTCTGAAATCTTGATAGGAAGGAATAAAGTTGTGCAAAATCTCCGTTGCCCAATACTGCCTCTTATGTAAAATGCACCTGTGCTTGCTCTGAGCCAGGCCCACAGTGAGGAGAGGAGGCCACCGCTGCCCCCCACCTCATTGTGCACCCTAAGCACAGCTCGGGAACAGCTTTGTTGGCAATCACTTGTTCCCTACTATCTTGTGATTTCCATAACTTTTTTTGTAATTACCTAATTTGATATTTCCAGTAATATTTTTTCCTTCCTAATAAAAATCTAATGGATCCAAAATTTGAAAATTCTAAGTATTGGCCAGGCAGTGGTGTCGCACACCTTTAATCCCAGCACTTGGGAGGCAGAGGCAGGTGGATTTCTGAGTTCGAGGACGGCCAGGGCTATACAGAGAAACCCTGTCTCATTAAAAAAGAAAAGAAAGAAAGAAAAAGAAAAAAGAAAAGAAAAGAAAAAGAAAATTCTAAGTATCTTTACTTTGGTTGATTCATTATATGACATTGTTTACTTCACATTTTAAGTACATTTTTTTCCTCAAAGGATCTGGCTCTGTGAAGAAACGTCAGTTAATAACCTAAAAGATCAAATCCTTGACCCAGATGCTTAAGTTGTTGGTTAGCATTTACCCAAGCCTGATTGCAGTGAGCTGTGAGCAATAGTTCTCTCATGATGGATCCAGTCCACTAACTAGTGGAAGACCATCTGCCTACATTAGGCCCAAATGTTACTTTTTTCCCCCATTTTTTGAGACAGGGTTACACTATGTAGCCCTTGCTGTCTTAAAACTCTGTTGACCAGGGTGGCCTCAAACTCAGAGATCTACCTGCCTCTGAATTGAGAATGCTAGGGCTAAAGGCATGAGCCACCACTACCATGTAGCTAATATAATATTTTTTCAATGAAAATAGATGCTTTTCTCATACAGAACATCCTGACTACAGTTTCCCCTCCCTCCACTTCTCCCAGCTCCTCCCCTCCCACCTCCTCTCTCCCTCAGATCCATTCCCCCACTGTCTCCCTTCAGAAAAGATGAGGCCTCCAAGAGACAACAACCAAACACGACAAAAGAAGATACAATAAGACAAGGCAAAGGCCCTCACACCAGTGCTGGACAAGGCAACTCAGTAGGAGGAAGCAGCCCAAGAGCAGGCAAAATTGTAATGTTTTTTACTGCCAGAAAGCAGCGTTCTGGTCTCTGCAGCTTCACCTTGTTGCTCCCTGGGAACATGTCCTCTATCCTCGCACTCTTTGGGGTTCCATTGTTCTTGTACCTGCCTTTTTCCTGGTTATTCTTCTGGACATGACTGCAAGCTTCCATCTGGAAAGGCTATTTCATCCCAAGCTTTCTCCATGTTGGCCCCTCTACAGTCTTACCAGCTCTGGTTCTTCCTGTGCATCTGGCACTCTGATAGGGCCACAGCTAGAAAAAAGAAGATAGCTCCTGAGGCAGCAGGCGAACTGTGCAATGTAACGGAGTTGCCACAAGACTACCAAGGCCTTACAATTGCTTAGGTGTAAATTAACAAAGCAAAAAACCCTACAAATCTTAGAACTTTCATTTTAGAATATCTTATATAGTTTTAAAATAAAATAAATTTAATGAATTTTTAAGAAGCAAGTTATTTCTTCGGCCTTAAAATATGTTAAACATCCCCAGAATCTTACATGGCTTCCAGGTGTTTCTGTAAAAAAACAAGGAAGGAAGGAAGGAAGGAAGGAAGGGAGGGAGGGAGGGAGGGAGGGAGGGAGGGAGGGAGGAAGGAAGGAAGGAAGGAAGGAAGGAAGGAAGGAAGGAAGGAAGG